CCGTCACAGGCAGACATTACAATGTTACTGACGACATCTGGCTGGCTGTCACACGCGAATGTCGTTGGTCCGAGGAACTGCGCATGCGCTTACAAACGCCGCAGTTAAGTCGTCTAGTTGATCCCAGCGCCGGGCGCCAGTAAACATGGTCGTATCAGCAGTCGGTCCAGCACGTTCCTGGACAGCGACGGCCTTTGAGTTTAAACACCATGGCTTTCGATGTTCCTGTCTGGTGTTGATGCTCAACTGTACGCTGCACGGTGGCGTGCTCATTCGTGTCTTTCGCGATTATTTTGGGTATTGGTTTTGGAAGGCCCCTTGAAGCTTTTGATCTTTTGCGTTGGTCTGTACCAATGATGTGCAGCTTACAATTAGTTACGATGAGTTTAAGGTTTGTGTTTGGAAAGCCCCTTCAAGCTAGAAGCGTCTGCAATGGGTTATGCGCTTGCTAGAATTGTAAGCTGACAATAAGTGAATCCCTGTTATCGTCATCTTCTGTGCAGTTTTTATTTGACCCGTCCACCTGGTAGATTTGCATTTATCGTGTATTATGCTTAACCGCCATATATCCGCGAAATATGCTAAACACCGTAACATCTTTGACACCGTAACACCGAAGCACCATAACAGCGTGACACGGTATCGCAATATTGCCGAAGAGATGCTTTTTCCTCAAAACGTTTTCACGAGAATAACTGACCACCTGATTCAAAAGCAGGCCTTGCCGGACAGCTGACCTTTATGAGGCCGTTCTCCTCGATCGCCGACGCTCGCTGACCTCTCGGGCACGAGGGACGGCATGGTGAGGAATGCGGTCCTCAGGGGCTTTAGGCCGGGTCTGGCTGGGGGAGGGGGTCTGAGAGCGAGCCGCCTGCTTGGAAGGGATCAAGCGGCCGTCCAGCCACGACCGGCGTGATTTGACGCCAGATGATTTACGTGCTCGGGTTTTCCGAGCTGGAAGAATGAACCAGGCTTGCATGGCGAGTGCATCAGTGCTGTTGACATTGAAACTGTATATGCTTGCTGTTAACTTCCGATGGTGGTTATGCTTGCTGTTAACTTCCGATGGTGGTTTTAATTCCGCGGGCCGCAGAACGAAAAAATCAAATGCTTGTTGTGCCTCACGGATTTTATACGTGTTACTACGATCACCATTCGGGTAAAGTACAGAAGATTAACAAGGAATTTGAACTTCTGTCACACGCAAAAAATGTCCCGTGCTATCTGGACTTTGGGTGAATGTGCATCATCCCAAGAGGTGGAACTTAAAAACAATGATCGTGGATCACTACATGTCTACAAACATTAGCAAAGCCCACTTACCCTGCGGTTCAGAAACATTGGCGGCACCATCTGCCTCAAAAGTGTGAAAAAGTTCTCCCCCGGTCGTATCTGAGCGTTTGTTTAGTTCCAGCCGTTCAGGTATACGTTCATCATGTTTATGCTGTTCTGCATGGTGTCCTCTCACATTGCATTCCGCGCCATTCTCTACCCGAACAGAAAATGGTTGTCATGTGACAGGTCATGACGATAGATGGGTAGGATGATTGTCATGGTGGAATGAGATCGTTTATGTCAGCATCACACGGTCCGGGTCACAGCTGGTTCTTCGAAATCGACATTCATCACGTTCAAAAATGGGGTCATCCTTTTATAATGACCGCAATAAAATGACCGAGTCTATCTTCCACCGAAGATTGCAATGTGGGCCTCATGATCTCCCCGCTGGAATGATTACAATCGGCAACGGAGCTCTTATTGTAGTCGATTTTAATCGTGTAAGGCACAGCTGTTCTTTACGAGATTTAATCCGAATCTTTTGAATGGACAGATTTCTGAGATCACAGGTCACGCCAAACAACGCTTGTTGTATGAGCCCTGACCTTTAAGGTGAACGTCAGGATTTGGTCGCGAAACTTTGACGTGCCGCAATACCCGGCACGGTCCGTCCTGCCCACTGGCATCACTTGACATTTAGCGCGGCCCCTGCCACCGGCCGCAAGCCATGCCTGTTAACAGCAAATACCGAGCGCCTCGTGCGAATTGAACCCGCCTCTCCGCAGGTGGGTGGATCGGAAGGCAGGCTAGGCCCTCTAACCAACTGGGCTGTCGGTTCGGGACGGACCAATAGGGCTTGACGTGATAAGCAGGTGGAAATACTGCAGAAGTGAGGCGTGATACAGCCAATAGCTGGTGCCAGCGGTGCAGTTTCGCAGCATAAGTTGGAAACCACGCACCTCTGGAGTGTAGTTTAGTACGGTGTATTTTGTACAAACACCCCATGAGGGGTCTGAACGGGGAAAATTGCTAAATACCCCAAAATACGTTAAAAGCGGGTTTTTCAGCTTTGGTCCCCTTTCCTCTCAAAGTTGGATTGGGGGAGGTGAGGGGGTGGAGGGAGCCGGAGTCCGCCGAGCTGAATAGGAAACTACTCCTCCGGCTGGTATCATAACATGCCTTCACACGGTCACGTCCCCGGAGCGCCTATCATTAGCAGGGTCTTTAAACATGCGCGCATCACGTTGCCGGTAGTTTAGAGCGCCGCACGTTTGCTGCGAAGTGTCGGGTTACCGCCTGTTCCTGGGCCGATGTGGAACTGAAGTCTGGGTCGTCATCAGCTCGTCATTCTTTGAATGCCATATTCCAGAGGGGAATAATACCGTTTGGGAAAGGCAGTGAGGATAGCCCGAACCTCAGCACTAAACTGGCAGTGTTTTAGGTGAAACTGATAATCTGAGTAAATACTGTGGTGATCATGTCGTCATCACGGGTCACAACATACCCTTCCAAGCAAAACATGGTAGAAACATACGGCGGTGAGAAATCGCGTTAATGAACTGAAATGCCATTCGGACCGGATTGCCAGGAACAATAGCCAGAATAGATAGCGATCAGACCGATGATCCAGTCTCATTTTAAAAACGGATTGAAGGTGCTTTCTAAGCCCTGAAATCGGAATTACCATTGCGAGTTTGTATCCGGCAAGCCAATTATCCTCATTCGGAAGCTGTCAACAGCAGCACCATGACATACCTATAATCAGCACTCCAATTCGGCGTTATCGTGGACTTCTGGATGAACGCTTCACCATTGGATACGATTGGTCCTCAAGAAGGCCCACTGCTTAGCTTGCACGTGCCTACTCAACTTTACTTGGGTAGATATTAAACGAGGTGTCTTAAATGCGGTTCACTACCGCGTAACAGTTTCTGGAAATACGTTGTGCTTAATTTTGCTTAGGCGGGAGCAAACTTAGCAATATGCAAACTGAGCAATATTATCTCGCGAGAGAATTTGAGATTCAAAGGCAGGGACCCAAAACTTACATGGATACTTCACTCTGCACCTTGCACATATCCAGCGAAGCGCTCTTCTAAAAAGGTTTCCATGACAATGCCCCATTCCTGACAACAAAACAAGTCGTAATTCTCGGAAGTCTCTCCGTGCGTGTCTGGCCGCCGGCCAGAGGCCCAGATCCAGCATGAAGAGGCCGCGAGCGCCGCCCGTCGGCCCGCCCGTCTGGAGCCGAACTTAGGGAAAGCCTCGCTAACCAGTTGCGCAGGTCTGCCTCCATTTATGCTTGTCAGATCCAGTAGCACACGCGGCGAGATCTGATAGCCCGCCAACGAGCTTCAATAGCATGCAAGTACTGCGCTCATTGGAACGCGACACGTCAGCACAGCCTGTCTGTCGGGTCCCGTTTGGCGTTGTCACGGTGATCGACTTTTTTAGTTTATGACTCGCATCAAACTCCCTTTGGCTGTGTTGAGAAAGGGAGTTTTTTTGGGCGTATCGACTTTGCAGTTCTCCACTTTAAAGGACCGGCCTTTTCGTTGGTGAAGAACATTTACGTTGGCCCTAGATACATAAGAGGGCTTTCGCTCCACCATTGGTACCCAAATGAAGGTACACCACGGTCTTCCGAAGATGGGAATGCTAAGGTGGCGTCACCGTAAAAATGTTTGTAGCGGGGAACAATTTCCACCTATGATGCATGGCTGATCTAGGCAAGCTGCATATGCAGTGAGACAAAGGTTACTCTAAAAAATTATCTCTAGGGATCTCACCACTGTTGGACGCAGAATAGCGTTTGCAGCCGTCGTGCGTGTCGTCTGAAATTTAAAGACGCTGAGCTGCCATCTTCCCTTAATCGTCATCCCACAATGTTCATACCAACAACCATCATCCCACAGCGCTGATAAGAAGCATCATCCCATAATGTCATACCAACAACCATCATCTCACAACAACCGCCCCCACACATCACCTCACAAATCACCATCCCACAATCACCACCACACAATCATAATCCGTGAATCACCTCACATGATTTATCATCTCGTCACCGTCGAGAGACGTCAACACTTAAGGCCGAACTGTTCGTGCAAACATTTTCCAAGGTCGGGTTCATCCCGATCCAACTTGGCCTTTCAAACTCCAACCCAAGTCAATTCACTTTTAAGAAATTCTGCTCGCATGTCGGCCTGCGTGAAATGGCTCTAACAAAATGTGTATCGTAGTTTTAACTTCCACCTAAAAGTTTTCGACAGTTTTACCACCAGCAAACCGTACCTTTTTGACGCTGTTTGCTTAAGTGTACCGATAAATTTACACTGCCCGTGCTGGTAATCCGTATCTATGCGTAGCTGCAATCGAAAGCAATTTTTTCATTTAGTTCTTAGCTATGAGTAGCTCTCAGTTTTATTTAGAAGTAAAATTTGTTTAGATCTTTTCGATTTAATTCTGTTATATTTATTTCTTCTTTCTTCAGCTTTTTGTAGAGTTTTTACATTAATTCTACTGCAAAACACAAAGCGCCGCACTTGCATTTAAGGACGAGCAGTACGAATCGCAGTTAACTTTCCACAGTTATCTGATATCGGCCTGCTTCGTTTGTGGCTCGTTACACGGTGCCCTGCGTCTGTCTTTGTTCATCAATCATCGGAATCATGTTGGATCGCGGTAGCCGCCAAGCTGTGAACGCTGCCCTTTTGTTCCAGTTTTCGCCATCAACCTGTCTGGCGGCTGCGAGTCCCAGACAACCTGCAAAAAATGTCAGACCACTAGCGATGCCTGCGGCTGGTGCTACAGTTCAAGTTCGCAGGACTTCCGCTGCACATCACTTGAAACAGCACGTAACTCCAGCGACATCTGTTTGCCGTGCCATGAACTACCGCGAGTCGCCCGTCAGGCGAACCGTTGCGACCGCAGTGGGTGCATGGGGGTAAAGGACGAGGTGTGCTCAGGGCACGGCACGTGCGTGTGCGACACGTGCACCTGTGAGCCCCGTTACAAGGGCGCCGTCTGCCAGAACTGTCCCAGCTGCTGGGGCGAGCTGTGTCGACCGCTGGCGAACTGCGCGCGCTGCGTCAAACGCGAGGGCAACGCCACGCTGTGCAACGCCTGCCCACTGGACACGCAGCTCATGGACGCCGAGCCGGTCCACTCGGAGTCGTCCGAGTGCGTGTTCGACACGCTGTCCATCGTGGACGACTCGCGCTGCTCGTTCCGTGTGCGTTACTGGCGGGACGACCTGCTCGAGCTGCACACGCGGATACAGTTGCGGTGCGGCAGCGCCCGAGGTCGGTTCCCATTCGGTGCAGAGGCGCCTGCGGCCGACAGCTCTACAACTACGACAACGACGACGACGGGGATGACTACCACCACTACCACTACCGCCGCTCAACCGCCAGTCACTAAGCCGCTGGCAACGGCGGCAACGGCGGCGACGTCTATTTCCAGTTCCAAATTAAGTCAACAGGTGGCGCCAAAATCACCGACGCTTCTTGCCTCCACGCCACCGCCGACGGCCGGTGGAGGGGTCACCACGCTTGCGGCAGGTGTCGTGGTTGCGTGGTGCCTCTGGGCAGGGAGGCAGCTTATCTGAAGGGAGTGATGTTGGGTGTCGGATGTCGCATGTCGGGTACGGGGTCATACGCGCTCCCTGAGCGGTGCCGGACGAGTGGGGACGGGAGGGAGAAGTCACGCGGAGCGCCCGCTGGCCGTCTGAACCGGGAAAGGGAACACCCGGTGACTACGCGCACAGAGGGCTTACACCAGCACTGGACGTCTCACCATTAGCGCTGAGCAGGCACCGCTGCACCTGCTGTGCCGGTCACCGTTATGACGTCACGTCTGCCACGGCTCGGTGGTAAGCGGCAGACAGTGATATGGTCCGTCCACGTACCGCCTGTTAGAAAGACGATATACCGCACGAGAGGCTACAACGTTCGCATATTTGATTGCAAGCAAAACCGCGTACACACGTATAGCACTGCTTGTAATGGAATTGCACAGTGGTCAATTGGACGAAGTGTGTAAGTTTGCCATACCACGTGGTGTAACTTTGTCGTACCACGACATGCATCGCGATATGCATACACCATGTTGAGCACAATTATGTACACCACACCGGAAAAGAAAAAATGTAGGCTGCAGTTATCATTGCGAAACCCGTCTAAAAAAGCCAAGCGACGTGGTCTGAACTCCGAACTGCGAAGAAGTTTGCTCCGCATTGGTGCAATTCTTGCAGTATTTAGACACAGCTGCAACATTGCGTCGACATTGCGCCATTTTCACGGGTGACTCACCTTAACAGCTGCATTTGGCCAGAATGTGTCACATTCTTCCCTAGGGCGGCCGATGTTGCGTTCAATATCGGACAATGACGGCATGTGACACGCGCTTCACCCTGCACGGATTTATTGAGGGCCCTCGCTGTGAGCGGCCGAGTGCTTGTTTATGCAGCTGACTGTGCAGCGCCGACTGCGTATGATCAGCAACGTGTCCCGCTTCGCTTTCCGGTGTGCCTTCCACGGCGTTCTATGTACAAGCCTGGTGCCTTACAGCCTTCTGTGTGCGATGTACAAACACTGCTGTTTTGCCACATGCTCGCTGCGCACCGCGACGAATACGGGAGAGACGCGAGCCCCCGAGGAGCTGGAATCACCCAAGTATGTGCAATCGTGGACCAACTGCAGCATAACAGCACTGCACGTCACCGCTGTTCCGAGTGTAAAAGCATCAGCTGTCGACGACTGTGCGATGCGCGTGGATACACCAACACACTACACCGGTGCGGTTCCAGAGTATACATAGAACAACATGTCAGTGCACATTACAAGTGTATTACGTCCTGAGGCTGGTAGGAATATCACGCCAAGATCATACTCGATTGATGAATGAAGCACCTTGAATTACATTTAATGCCTGGTCTTACACCTAGCACAACTTATCTTTCCTGACGATTAGTCCTGAATATAATATATCAGGAAGGACGAAACAAAGGCGCGTGACTTGAGCAGAAAGCACTTGAACACTTGCCACGAAGATGTCAATCGGCTTAACCTCTTGAGTAAGACAAATTATTCCAACACGATCAAACAAGACGAGCTGTGCAAGTAACACGACATCCAATAGGGCATTGTCATGAATGTATATACAAACATGGTCATACCAGGCCATTCATAAAAAACGCCGGGAGGATTTGCTTGCAGATGACACGATATAAATGGTCGCTTTTCGTTGGAGAAACACTTCGAAAATCAAAATGAGCTGTGTGCGCCAATCCCCCTTGTTTGAAGCTGCATCACCAAACCGCGACTGCTACCAAACGGGGAGCATCTGACCTCCTCACCACACGAAGCGCAAACCGGGAGAACGGTCCCTTTTGCTGTCACCGCCAGCATTGTCCACACACCTGGTCTTCAGCCACACTACCTCCATGGCTGGCGTTATTTTCCTGTCCAGGCCGGGAATGACGACGTCAGATTCCTGGCTCGGGTTCGCCTCGTACGAGAACGGGTAGAACCCCATTTCCTGCAGCCCTAGGAACGAGGCGTACACCTGCCGGTGGAAGCGGACGTGCTGCTCCGCGGGCGCCGTGTCGCTGCGCGGGTAGAAGTGCAGCTCCGCGCCCAGCTGCTCCACACTCCTGAACAGCAGCGAGTCGCGGCCGCGCGCCACTTGCTGCTGCAGCACCTCCCACTCCGAGCCCTCTACATCCATCTTCAGGTAGTGGATCGTGCTCTGCGCGTGCCCCATCTCGTCGGCGAGCGTGTCGAGCGTGCGCATCTGCCAGTCGGGGTGGCGCGGGTGCCGGCCGTCCTCGCCCCCCACGCCGTACCGCGCGAAGCTGATGGTGCCGTTCTGGTCGCCGGCCGTCGCGTTCATGCTCGGGTCGAAGGCGAACACGTTGCAGCCGAACGCCTCCATGTCCCAGTCGAAGGACCACTCGTCGTTGATGCCGAGCGAGTAGACCAGGCAGGGCGCGGCTGAAGGCAGGCCCAACTCCGGGTCCATGCAGGCGGCCTTGTTGCCGTCGAGCACCGCGGCCAGGTCCACTCGGGCCATCTGACGTCACGCGGACCAAGTCACGGGTGATCTCGTGGGACATCAGCGGCACTGACAAAAACAGGTGTAACGCGGCAGGCGACGGGGATTTACTTGACGAGCCGATGCAGAACGCAATCGTGTTTGCTTCGCACGGCGGGACTCTGTACGCTCGCGCCGACAAGCTGTCGTGATGGCAACCTTGCATGAATGTGCTTTATCGCCCACGTAATCGTTACAAATGTGTAGGTTGTGCCTGTCAAACGTCGCCTCACGGGGTGCTCTACTGGCGGCGTCATATCAAAACGGAATGCGGCAGATAACGTATCCTTCCTTAGTTTGCTGCTGCCAGACGTCGGAGCTAGGGGCCATCTTACGCCAGTCACCCATGATGGCCTGTCAGGGTAAGACTCTAGCCACAAGTAAGAGGACGATACTGCCAGGATAAAGCCTGATAAGAATCGAGACGTTACGATTTTGGATCGCATCACGCGCAAAACAGAAATTAAAAGCCAGCCTGGACCGCTGAACAGCGATAGCTTCAGCAAGGCTCTTGGTCGCCAAGCAGTAATGCTGCTGGGCTAGTAAGACGAAGGCAAACAACATATTTTGTGACAGAATGCGTTGCTAGTAATACTACAGCGAAATAGGCACCATACGATCGGTAAAAACGAACCGGGTTTTGGGTCAATGCGCCTCAGCTAGACAGTGAGCAGCATCGCTGACCAGACAAGAACTTGATCTTTAAATGCGATGCTTTACGTTAGAGATTGATCAATTGCAAGGTGCTGTGTATTTTACGGGCCTAGCAAAAACGACTGAAAGGTTTTGCAAAAACGCAAACGCAATTTGCCGAACGCTGAAAGAACCCCGCCTGCACGAGGGTCAACATGTTGTAGATTATGGTTAACGCGTCCTCTTACCTGATGCCGATTTCCCCAAAACAACTTCTCAATCCCGTCAAAAGCCAACAGTGCTCTACTTCACGAGCTATGTGCTAAAAACAGGCCGCACCAGTACAAACATCACGCAAAAACAGCTTCAGAACCAACGCGCACAGGATCTCACCGCTTTGCCACCGAAGGAGACCACTTTACGGCAAGCTCTCTTGTTGGGCTGAGTGATGTAGGTGAACAGGTCTCTGAGCATAACCACTGTCGTCCTCTGACATGGGCGGCAGTGCGTTCACCGCCATCCCCGGCAGACATGGCGAGGAAAACGACCCACTGCGGAGATAGAACAGGGCGAAGCTGACGGCAAACTTCACGCGAGTCGCGCATGAGAGACAGATCCAGTAATGGCGATGGGCTTTCAGTGTGTGTGATTACGCTGATGACCCCCTCTTTTGCAAGATGGCGCTCTGGCCTTAGCAGATTCTGTGGAACAAGACACAGTCTGCGTGGTTTACTCTACGGTATCGCTAGTCGCCATGACTATTTGGGTTACAACCTCATGTGTCAACCGCGGTGCAGGAAACAGAAACACAGCCCTTGAACAGGGCAGCAAGTAGGAGTCTTTGCGGGTTTGATTACCCATATTAGTATCCATGTGGAACGTGTAACTGGTCGGCTAAGGTACATATTTTGGGGAGATAATGGGTATGGTTGCAGGTAAGGACAAGACGCTGACCAAATGCTAGGTAGACGATACATGCAATTTACTACACAATCTCACTGTTTGCGCTTCTTCTGGTCATAATTAGCCCCATTCACCCTACTTTTGCAATTATCCATAGGCTTATAACCCCAAAGAGTGTGTTTGCGTGCAAACTTACCGGAAACTTTCCCACAATTTATCACCAAGCTGCTAGAAAATGCGGATGGGTAGGTTGTGGATGGGCATACCTGATGAGGAACCCGTCGCGGACGGCGCATGAGTATGGGCACAGCCCCGTGAGTAGCGGGTGTACTGGGTACAGGGAACCCTACCATTTTGAGGTTTCGAGTAACAAGTCCTAACTTACAACCTGGCAGATACAAGACAAGCACGAGCTAGACGGTCGTTGGGGTTGAACGCCCACGTTATGCCCGTTGCTCTCAAACGCATGGAACACATTTAATACGCTCTCGGGGCTGGTCAATTTGGCCCCTCTAAGGTTTTTCAGGAATGTTTTCCAGACGACGCGGCGAAGCCGCGCAAAATTTTGTCTATCTGCATTGTAGACAATTGAATAGCGGATCCTTTGGTGCCAAAAATTGGATAACCTTGCAAGGTCGTTGATCTACAGCAAGTCAACGTCAGACCTTGGATTGGGCGAAGTCAATTTCTAGGAAATCGCTCAATTTGATGCAATAACGGAGTGTTAGATTAAGCCACACATCTCTGAGATACTTTTGTTGGGGAAAATAACAACTGAATGAACACATTACATCGAACTAGGGTCAGGTATGAACGTCAGATCCAGATCAAAACCAGAATAAGTCAGAAAAGGTCACTGACCTAAAATGAGCCAGCTCAACATTTTGTTTCCAGGAACATACTACCCAGCGTAATCTGTGTCGCTTATTCAAATACAAAACTTAAAGCCGTCCTGTGTGACTTGGGTCACCATGACCTCCGAAAAGTCAAACAATGTCAATGACCTTAAATGGCTAGCGGGCCTAGCGCCGGTGGCACATCCGTTCGGTTCAAACCTGAGGCGTCGCATGTACGGAGAGAGGCGAAACCATGTTTTGTCAGCGGCCGTATCAAACCATAAATTGCACGCAACAAACCCCATGCGCTATTTCACGTCATACTAGGCAGTGCCAGTGCTGGAGAAAGAGCTCTTGCGGGCTTCAATCTATCCATGAATATCGCTCTCCACCGCTTCGCTACCAGTTGTACATTTTTTTGCGTTAAATGGCTAATAATCCGGTAATAATAATTTGGTTAAATGGTAATAATCCGTTACCTTCAGTTAAGGATTGCTATGATGTTTCACATCCAAAATTAATATCTCTAGCATTTACAATCCGCACCTGGAAAACTGTTATCCCTCAGTCCTGGAACCAACAACCAGAAGGCCAACACTGGATAACCTTTTTATGGCCTGGGTCATAGGCGTCGGAATGATTTAAAAAGGGGGACCAAGCTCAGGGTGTACTCAAAGAACTATTTCTGGAAAGCGAGCCCGATGACCGGTGGGGGGGGGGGGGGGGTAGGTGTGGCGGTTGTTATCACTCCTTATTCAAATGTCATGGCTGCTATGCTAGATATCCATCTAGAGCTGTTTATGACTGGTGCAAAATCTTACCTATTCGACTCATCAGTCATTTGGCAACTAAGGCTATCCAGATTCCCTGGATTATTCGTCCATTTTAACATTGTCTTTCCTGGGGAGGCAAAATTCCACCAGCGGGTAGACATTTTGGGTCATTAAGGAAGCATCTGCATTCACAGTGTAGATGCCAGAATACGGTCTGGATATAGGCTGGCGAGAATTTTGAAAGTGCATCGATAGCTCACAGTGCGACAGATTTTTCATGCGCCTTTATTTCACTGGCTGCTTTTCAAGAGATAAGACTTGTCGCAGCATTTAAGGCGGAAACAAATTCGGGAACTTGAAACTGCTAGAAACAATGTGTCTCACAAATCATAAAACTGGAGATTCTCTTTTCAGAATCAAGCCACATAATAACGCCCATCTGTCATATGTTCCTTATCTAGGCCCTGCTCCTGTCCGCCGTCGGTGACCACCGCCCTGGCGCGGATGTCTCCCACATGACTGAATGCGAACTGATCGTACGGCTGCTTTGTTGCATACTTTTGGACCAGCGTTACTACTACATGGTGTATGAAACACCTGTGTTGGACATCTGCAACAGTATTTTTTCCGAACTATCTTCCCTTACACCACGCCATAGCAGAAAAATGGCGTCCGGGAAGCTGTCTGCCATAGGAATGAATTGGCCAAACGGACACTTTATTGCCCATCATGCAGCGTATACGATTTGATCTGCTTTTGTGTGTAGGCAGGGGCGTAGCCAGAGCCTTGCCAAGGGGGAACACAAGGTTGACAAAAGCCCATCTTATGGTGATCCCCCAAAATCCCCGGATGTAGCTTTTTTGTCAACAAGTGACGCGGTTCTCTTCGCTTTATTGCTATTTTTACCTTGTAGCCAGAACAGAAACCAGGAGCTACCGTGAGTTCAATTATGTTTGTATTTTGTGGTCACTGAACTGCAGAAGTCAGGTGCTGAATGACTACATGGAATAAATCACCGGTGCTCTTAATTTACAATGGTTAGTTGACTCTTTCTAAGCCGATAGAATTCAGAAGCTTTGACAAAATATTATATCTGGGTTCATATGACATTGAGGATATCGCGAAGGCAGATTGTAGATCGCTATGTTTGATTCAAATCTGAAGATGAAAAGTTTATGGCAGATCGAGTGGCCAACAATGTGCATTAACACGGACAAGCCATGTTTGCCTGAAAATGTTCACCATTCAGTCAAAATTGATTAGTGATACAATTGATGTAACGTGTTTTTTAACATGCTCGCTCGCAAATCTTAGCAACAAAAACCTCGACACTAGGCATTGCAGTCTCCATAGTCCGCGGAGCGTTAGCCCAGTGGCTCATATTTAGCCGTGTCCCACCGGTGGACGAAAATGATGACGTTCCTTAAATGATTGTCTTTATGTACTTTAATCGACTAGTAAGACAAATTATGTGACGTAATTTTGAGCGTGCGCATTAGAAAATTTTGGAAACACATGCCTCGACCCCAAGCGTTGCAGTCTCCGCAGGCCGCGCAGCGTCGGCCTAGCAGCTGGTATTAAGTTGTGGATAACGGGTGGACGAAAATAACTACGCTTCTGGACTGATGAAAAGAACGGATTGGCCCTTAAAGCGCCGCGAGGTGGTGCTGGAATCTGGTAGTTAAACTAAAAGAGTTAAGGAAAAATATTTATTTTTCGTGTTTTTGCAGCCATTTATCTATCCAAAAGACAAATAAACACGGCGCCTGCCATTTGGTGGCACTTGCAGTGGCTGAAGCGGTTCGGTTTTACGGAAGCTGTAGTCCATGCCATTCTTGTCTCTGCTCTCGAGGTTTTGGGCGGGCATGTTCAAACCTTTTAATGTAATTTGTTTCACTAATCCATTCTGAAAAAATAAACGCTCTCATGCAAACATGGCATAGCCTTACTGATTTCAAAATTCATTTCGACCCACCCTATTCAACAATAATGAGACCCCCACTCTACTCAACAATAAAAGACCTCTTATTTCCCTCCGGGCAAAGGGCCTCTTGAGTAGAGCACCAGGGGTACATTACCGTTCCCGGTAAAGGCCGAAGGGTCACTCCGTCCCATTGCGGAGTGTCTTCCGGCTATCATTCTGGTGGCACGGGGCGGGATTTCCTGGTCGATCCGGAGGGCATTAGCAGGGTATATCATATCGCATTGTTCCCACCCCTGGCACGGGAGGCCTTCTGACTCGCGAAGTTAGGCCCGGATCAGCACAGGAACCCTCATTGGCACAACAACATCCCTGATCACCGCAGGTAGCCCGATAGTTGTCACATAGATTCCAGTTCCATGTTTTCCTGTGTTCTTCAGAGATATTGAGTTCTCCCTGACTGTACATTGTAGATGAAATGGGGTTCCTTGTGCTAACATGGCTAACCCATGTTCGTCTTAAAATGCTCAAGATCCTGTCAGAGCTAATTACTGATAAGAAAACTACGTAATGTGGTGTTGAACATGCATGCTTGCAAGTCATAACAATAACAGCCCCGACGCCCGGCGTTGCAGTCTCCAGACCGTGCGGAGCGGGCCTTGCGGCTGTAACACCCTGCCCTGTCAGCCCTGCGGTCGTCCAATCTCGGCCTAAAATATAAATATTGAACGTGCCAAATTTCAGAAATAACACAAGGCTGTGAAGGCCTATTGCCGTCGACACAACGTCCAATTTTCTTTAAAAGTCAACTTTGATGATGGCCATTCTTATTTGCTCGACCTGTTTTTCTGCCTTCTCACATTTACCAACCTGCTACAAGCAATGTAGCAGTTCACAACGAACGTTTCATTCACGTTTGTCTTCATGCACGTAACCACATCGCTGATTTAAAATAATGTGGCCCAGGCGTGCATTGGTCTCAAACGGTCGAAACGCCTCAGGGCAAATAAAATGCGAAATGAAATCGTGATTGAACATTCGATCCTCTTATCCTCTTTCTTCCTTTATCCTGCAATCTCGCAGGATTGCAAGGTTGCAGGATGATTGAAAAGTCTTTATTCCGAACTCAATCCGGACCCTATTCTCTTTTCATTTTTCTCGCTTTATTCTGAATCCTCACAACGGCCCGTTTGTCCGGAGCGGGCTGCACGCACCAGCCACGAGTGGGCCGAGAAGCCCTGGGAGGGGGGGGGGGGGGATCCCCGGCCCGGCGCACGGCAAATTCCTGCAGAGATGTCCCTGCACGGTCTCAGGCTCGACGGTTGGGTCCCCAGGTGCATGTAGTCCTGTCCCACCGTTATCCATTCTCCTTCAGCCCATGGCGTTGGAATGATCCTTATGGGTCGAAAGGGCTCTGATCCAAATAACCAAATAACGAAATCATGATTGAAACTTGCACAGCCTGCACCACGTTGGTTGAGAGCCGATTGCCGGCCGCCATACTAAGAAATCGTGTTCACTAACGCCAGATATAAACAACTCAGTAATGCTATTCTTTTTGGCCTTGAACGATGCATGACCATTTGAGAGGCGGATTGGAATGACGTTTCTATGGCGTCACGCATGCCTGAGTGACCTTGAAATAGTCTGCACGAAAAAGTATGCTCATCTTTGCGGAAGTGTAACCCATTATCTAGAGGGCTTTAGGCCTCAAGAAGGGCAAAGCTGTAAACTGCACCGAATGATCTTCAAAGCGGCTATTTCACAAATGCATGGAAATATGGAACACTTCCTTTAATGGGACAACAAAATGAAACGATAGAGATTTGTTGATATTTCGGCTGCAAGCCTTCGTCAAAACAGGATATCAATGAGCAGCTATTTTTAAACTTGCCCATCGCCTTAAATCCCTTCAAATGGCTTGAGTTTAGTGCTCCTCATTGTACTGCTCCGACAAAGGCTTGTAGTCGAAATATTAATAGATCCACATATTTCACCTTGTCGTCGTCCATCAAAAGAGGAAACAGGTCAAAAGCATCGCTCTTAAGTTTTTCAGTGTTTGCACAATGCTATGATCGTATGTGCTCCAAACACTGTAATGATTTAAGGCAAGGCTGTAACTTGTCTAGTCTAACTGTAACTGTAACTTGGCTAACCCACTTGTCCGGTCCGAATGTTTTCATAAGCTTGGCGACCTACAAAAATGAACAATCTGTAAGACAAGCGGTATCATTTACATCCGCTGGATGTACGGTACACCTATAACGAGATCGGTCATGACATCACAGCCTCACATCGTCGAAGGTTAGACGAACCTGGGAACCAACAACCATTGCGATGCAGATCACCTGGCCGATCTGACCGCGCGTGAATCTGGCGTGCTTGACGAGTGGTGGATACCCAGGATTCGCTCGGTTGGTAGACAGCGTTGATAAGCCGAACAGGCTTCCGGCACTTGGTAAACAGGACTGGACTGCGACAAGACCCGCCCACCTGGTAACAGTGAGGCTGGCTGTGGCACAAGAAGTCCTCAGCCACGGCTAAATCATTTCACCTGGCAAGCGAAAGTGCCTGACGACAGCCTGTAGACTGAGCTCACTTGTTGAAGATGGCGCTGGGTCGCGGCAGGCCCACCAGACAGGCGTAGAGCAGGGCGGACGCCAGCCCGACGGCCAGCAGGGGGCGCCGCGACGTCCTGAGCCACCAGGCCATGCTGGGGAGCACAGCCAGCCTGCCCCACGCCGCCGACCGACTGCCCGCGACGGGCGGCAGCAGACCCGTCGCGGCGTCCGGTCACCGACTCCTCGTCGAGACCGCCGTCAAGGTCACGGACCACCACGTGGCTGCTGGAAAATGGTCCCGGTCCGGCCGGTGGTCAGTGGTCAGGGGTCACTGTCTGGTGTTGTCTTGTGTTTGGTGTGGTAGAGCTAGAATAATATATTGCTAACTATAGCAGCTTTATCACGCACGTTTATGTGCTGACGGTGGGTACCTGAGCAGCAAGGAAGAACGGCTCAAAAATTAGAACAATCCAACGTGAGGTACCGTACAATGTCTTTAAACGGGCGGCGGCGCATTCCTGCAGCACAGCCTGAGGAATGTACATCGAGAGTGAAAGCGCAGGAGGGGATTTTTCCCCGCCAGCAGCATGCTGTTAAAGGCCCTGGCCTGTAAACTTGCCTGTGTGACGACCTGGCTCTCCGCAGTGCACTAACAGATGTCTGGTAAATGTCTCACTGAAAGATCTCGGGTAGATGTTTTGCAAGAGAAAGCGAACTTCCGCGTATCACACAGCAACGACAGTCCTACGCCAACAACGGCACTCACGCTGGCCCGCCTGCCCGCCGGCCGGCCGTTGCCATGGCGACGGCGAGTCAGCGACCCCGGCGGTGGGCCGGTGTTTTTGGTCGGGCCGGTCACTCGCGGTGGCGGCCTCGCTCCGCCGGCTGGAGGCGGGCGGCCCCGAGGAGGCGCCTTCCGTGCAGGCATGGCCGTCCCGCCCCGGTGGTATTTCAAGCGCAAGACACAGCTGCAGTGGCTGACGGCTGCACTGGCAGGCTACATCCTCCTGACAGCGTTTCTCGTGCGAACGCGGCAGGCAACGGTCGCGCCGGCACACAGGTGGGTGCGAGTTGGCTGCACCGTTTTGGATGAACCATAGGCGAACCAAGTGGGATATTTCATCGATGGGCACGTGAATGGAGACCCAAAAAAGGAGGGTCCCACGTTGGCATGGGATTTTCGACTAAAATTGCCATCTTGAAGATAATTCGGTGCAGTTCAGAGCCCTCCCCCCCCCCCCCCATTTTGGACATAACCGTTCTGAGCAACACTCCAGCGAAGATGCGCAGATTGTTTCGGAGAGTCTATTTTAAGGCCACAGAGGCGTCATGATGCCATAGTAACGTCATCAAAACCTGGCCATTCCATTAGCCATGCGGCGGGCAGGGTCAAGACAAATGTAATCGTATAGTCGTTGGCTTTCAATTAATGTTGTGCAGGGTAGGACGGTGTGATCAAGCAATGACGCATAGAGAAGTGTACTTACTAAAAATAAAAATATTGTTTTTTAGAGTGGTCTCTACCACTTAAAGGCATACCATTAGCTGTAAGTGAGCTTTTTTCATCGTATCTGACGATTGGTTCAACATTTTTGAATATGGAACATTCCATTTAACTGAGACTGTCAGGCGAACGGCCAGTGAGGTCATATTATACACGGAGGAAGTGGTGAGCATCAGCGCTCCCGTGTGATCATCGAGTCAGGCCGTCTGCTACACTAGGGGTAAACCAAGGTGATCGGTAATGGTTTGGGTGCCAGAACCGAGACCCGTGATCGCACTATCCCCAGTCTTCGCACGGAGCTGAAATTTTGAGCTGCTGAACAACGATGTGATGCGTATTGTATTACAGCAGACTGGCAGTTACGTCCTTCTAACGAGGCAGTGTACCGATGAGAACGTGTATATCTAAATGCGAACAATACGTCGGTGCGAGAATGCGAGTAGGAAGCAGTCATGCTGGTAGAAGCAATTAAAGGAAGTAAAGGTACGAGCTCGTTTGGATAACATCCATGTCAAATGCTAGCTGTACTAATGAGTTGTTAGGCGCTACTGCTGCCGAAATCGGGTTGAAAACGAAATTGAAATTAGCACTACATGAATACTTAATGCTATGGAATCCTGTCGAATTCGTTGATCAGTAGTATCATTTTGTACTCGTAAGACAAAATAATACCTCGTAAGACGGGCAGGTCATACAACATAAATTGTTTGGCTAGGCTACTCACTTCATCCCCTGACCAATCAACTGATAACTCACCATTGGTTCTGCGCTCCACATAATCATACGCCAGCAATGATCGCTCGTCGCCAGCGACTAATAGTGATTGGTCCCTGGGATTTTTAAAGGGAATGTGTCACGCTTGAAGATATTGAAGCAAAGATCAGAGATGACGAAACTAGCTAACTTATAACTTTAAGTATACTTTTAAGTAAAACATACTGCGCCAGACAGTACGATATTTGTTTTAAGTAAATACGCTACTCAATGCGTCATGGTTGGATTGTGTCATCGTACCTTGTATAGTGCCGATTGGGACCCAATGGACGGCGGTTTTACGTGGAAGTCTTGCTCACGAACGCCAGATATGAATAACCCGCCAATCATATTTGTATTGGTCTTGATCAACGCATGGCTTATGAACTGATGGGATTTGAATGACGCTATTATGACGGAATTAATGCCAAGGTGACCTTAAAATACTTCCTCGAAATAGTCTGCCCATTTTAGCGCGAGTGCAGCTGAGAAGCCAGAGAGAGATGGGTCTGAAGAAGGGCGGGGCTGTGTAACTGCACTGGATGATCTTCAAGATGGCTGCTTCAATTGCCTCCCCCCTCCCCCCAAGGAATGTGGAACACTCCCTTTAACCTTTGCTGGCACGAGCGCAGTGCTCGCAGACCCTCCCCACGAACTGTCTGGCAATCCTGTTGCCAACTTCATGGTGATGATCGTCGTAATGGTGTTTTCGTTACGGATTAGTCGGCATATATATATATATATATATATATATATATATATATATATATATGTATATATATACATGTATATGTATATATACATATATAGGCTAAATGCATCATTCAAGGCAACAGACTGCATGTTACGCGAAAAAACTGATACAAGAGCGAACGAAAAGCCGGCAGCGGAGCAGGCCGGGAGGGGAAGGGGGGCACAGGGAACATATGCCCCCCCCGTAACTTTTCAGGGCCCCGGCCTGCAGGGGTGGGCACTCAAATGCCGACCGGAGGTCCCTTTATGCCGGTCGGGGGCCCCCGGATCAGTGAGGCCATACCAGTCGGTCAAACACCACCAGCACCACACATTCGGCTCCGTGTCGGCATGGGTCTGAGGGTCCATTTCCCAAGCAGGGGCAAAGCGGGGATCAGCGATTTACATTGGTCGGGCTCCAGCGTGAGAACGACCGTCGTGAAATAATGCTTCCGAAAGTCTTACGAAAAATATAAATCCGTAAAAATCCTTAAAAAAATAAATCCGTGCCGTTCAAAGATGGGACTGGCGCATATCTCTGTCTTCCTTTTTACAACTTTGAGGCTGTCCTCTGGACGGATTGACAGTTATGTCAACACAAAAATAGACATTCTAAGTCAACTCTTCCAGTTTGACCACTCCTTTTTCGTCCGTGCGTTGTGCACCGCTTAGTGCTGATCGCGGGACCGATGCCGAGCAGCTTATGGGGATGGTAATACCGGGCGTCGGGGCTTTTGTTACTTATTATTGCGGGCGTGCCTGCTCAGAACTACACCGCCCTACTCTTCTCACTAATCCATTCTGACTGAGTGTTGAACATTTTTAGGCAGCATGGCCTTGTTGATGAAACTTTTTGACTTATTTCTATCTATAATCTACGTTCACGGGGCCCTCAGTATGTTTGAAGAACTCTGTTCTGACAAGGCTTCTGACTTTTATCGGTTTAGACAGAGTCCATTGACCAAAGCAAAATAAAGAGCGCCGGCAATGTATTACATGCAAGTCGTTTAACACCTAATTTCTTCATACAAATTGAAACAACATAGATTTCGCGGTGGTTTTTGACTTTTGTTCCGGTTATAGAAGGTAAAACTCATATAAAGCATGGGAAACCGCGTCCTCCACTGACAAGTTAGTCATATCCGTTGATTTTTTGTTGGGGGGGGGGGGGATTTTCACCATTAGAGCGCCATTTGAAAACCCTGTGCACCCCTTGTAATGGCAAGCTTTATATGTAAAAAAAGCACTCGTTTAAACGAGGTGAGCATGACAAAATATTGACATGTCAAAATGCTTTTCCGGTATTTTCTATTTATGTTTTTGGGTTTTTGTGTGCTTTTATTGTTTGTGTCTTCTGATGTGGGTGCCGTATTTATGTAGCACGTGACCATGTCCCTTTGCTGTGCTGCAGCGCGTCCGCCGCTCTCTGCCGACCTGAAATGGAGGTGAATGTGCTGCCGCCGATGTCAGACGACAACGCTACCATGTTCAAGGACCTGTTCTCCTACATTACCCAGCCTAATAGCAAGACGTGCGGCAGAGTCTTGAGGTTCGGGGGAATGGCGGTAAGTGACGGCGCTGCTCTCGATGAAGCGTAGCGATTTTGTTGCAGTTGTGTTGTCTGTCTTCGTTTGCGCAACATTTATGTTTTCCTATTGGTGAAGGCTAGCGCTGACGCACCTCAGCTGTCTGGAACCTCATCCGCTTGTCGACCCTTCCGCTGCCGACGTAGCGTTATGCATTGGACAGCGTAACACATCTCCCATATATGGGCCATCAATGCAGGCAGCATTTTCGGACTTTGTTTCCGTTACGCGTTCTCCGTCCCGTCAACCCTGCCTTGCCAGCCTTCGTCCACATTCTCCGCCCGTGCTCTTGCCTCGCACAGACGCGCCCCGCCCCGAGGTGACCTGACCTGCGCTTTTTCCTCAGCTGATGATGCGTGGCATGCCGCCGATAGAGGATGGCCACAAATACGTCTGCGTAGATGACGAGTTCAGCATCCTGCGCACCGACTCGTGCTTGGTGTACTCGTTCGGCGTCAGCGATGACTGGTCGTTCGACTGGGACATGGAGTCGTTCGGCTGTATGGTTTACTCGTTCGACCCGTCCATCAACACCACCACCGGCTACCAGAACGGCTCCATCATCTTCCTGCAGTACGGCGTCGGCGATCGCGACTACAGCGCCGAACATGAATGGGAGATCCGCACGCTTGACACCTTCGTGGAGCGGCTGAAGCACGCTGGCCGCACCATCCAGTACCTTAAGATGGACGTGGAGAACGCTGAGTGGCAGGTGCTCCGGCAGCAGGTGAAACGCGGGCGCGACTCGACGCTCTTCAAGAACGTGGAGCAGCTGGGAATTGAGCTGCACTTCTTCCGCAATCCGGCGACGCTGGAAAACGCTGCATTCTACCGGGAGGTTTACGCGTCGTTCCTGGGCCTACAACAGATGGGCTTCTACTTGTTCTCGTACGAGCCGAACCTCTCGGAGGAGCCACACACCCGCATTCCGGGCATGGATGGGAAATGGCCTCGGGCGATGGAGGTGGTGTGGTTGAAGACCAAGTGTGTCAATCGACCGTCGGGTCTCGAGGGCACGTGAGATGTCGTGAGGGCCCGGATGTAGGCATTCACACACGTCACTGACGGAAGAGCATCACATTTGCCGTGGCTCCGTTGCTGGTAGAAGGCTGCAACGGGATTACGATGACCACTGTCGTCGCAGGCAGGCCTTTGACCCCCTGCACACCATGTTATGCTGATGGCTTACGGGCTGATGTCAGCCCCAGCAAAAGGAACGACCGAATCCTTCAGGCTGTGCCCCCCTGCGCTGGCTTGGAAATAGACTTGGTTGTCCGTATCTCGACTCGGCGGCATATACTGTCCTGTTGGCATTGGCCATGTTTCAGGGAAACTGATCCACTTGTTGGTCAAGTGGGTAATATGCATATGTGTGTTTATAGGTGTATGCATGCGTGTACCCGTTTGTTTCAAAGGAGAAATTTCATCACATCATTCCAGGCTCATTAACGGATATCTTTGGAGACTTTATTTTAAATAGTTTGCAGGAGTGATTTTCGTTGCAGAACACTTATGTTGCGAGCATCTTGAGCTTGAGTTGTGCCATTTGGGTTCACCAAATACGTTCGCCTTTTGCCGTGCTACAAAACTACCGAGTGTTACATGTTGTGCAACGCCACAAGACGGCTTCAGGGACACGTGCTTCGCGGTCATATGTTTGAGATACGAACGAAATGAAAGGCAAGCATAACTAGCATTCAGCACTTGTGGTGTGTGCGGCACACCGAGAACATATGGAGAATAAGCGTTCCGCGGTGTGTTGTTTGCTCGCCGTTGGGCTCCGAGCCGAAAAATGTACGAATACAGCTAAACTGGTACCGTGCAGAACAAGTGCCTTCTGGCACAACTCGACCACGAAATATAGCGGCATAGCACGCACCGATCCGGCTAACCGCGCACCGTGCCTGCAACGACCGCGCCATACCAAATCAGAAACGCATGGAGACAGGTTTGCAATTTCGGCACAGTCGCGTTCACATTGTTAGCTTGATATGGCAGCCATTTGGCGGGCGACGGCCGTACGCCGGCATTCAACGGCATCGTTCCTCCATTGGGCAGTGAGCGGCGACGGTGCTCCTGTGCGGGGTGACGGGCGCGCGCCGGCAGGAGGAGGCCGCCCGACTTTTTAAAAAGGTTTCTTATCATTCGCAGGCAAGATTACCAGAAGGTACCATTTGCTTCAGTGCAGATGTTGTCAGTTTACATGGCAATACACCAGTCAAGGCTATCGGTGCCATGGAAGCTAAGGTAGACAAACATTTCCGTGAAGTTGGTGCTCTCGGTCTATCAAAGGATATCTGAGGGCTTTTAGAACAGTGTCTCCAGGATAATGTTTCCTCGCTCGGAAATGACTTCTACCGACAACAATTGAGAATGGCAGTGGGGAATCCATGCGCTCCTCCTCTGGCGATAATATTTTTAGACCAATTTAAAACGAAGGCCCTGGCCGCCAGCCCATTAAAACCAAGTTTCTTAGCTAGATACATCGATGGTTATGCTGGGGTATGGACGCACGGACAGCGTGCCCTTGAAGAGTTTTTAGAGTTCATGAACAACCAGCATACAAATCCAGGTTTTACGATGAGGCATGCAGGGGGGCGGAAAGGGTGGCCCATATTTGGAAACACTAGTGACAGTGGAAGGGAAGAGCAGCCGCACAACGTTAGAAACGGAGCTCGAGCCCACCAACTCTGGTATCATTCTGCATTGCGAATTTGCGCATCCAACTTCCACTAAGCACAACATAATTCGTGACATATTCCACGGGGCTCTAAACAACTCATCAAGTGGTGAAAAACAGCGTAAACAAAATATGGGCGTTGCTGTTATGTAACGGATATTCTCCGCAACTTTTAGGTAGAATGTTGGAAGAATTAAAAAAGTCTATAGCGCGTGGGGGGATGGGTGGCAGGAGGCGCAACACGTCCTATCGGAAGGGGGATTCTTAACGCTACGTTACATGGATGATGTTTGCTGTGGAAAATCAAACACATAGTTTAAAAATCAAAGCTGTGCATACGCATAGCTTGGAAAAAACACAATAGGCTTAAAAAGTCTCTGGCGAAATCTTCCACCTAGAAACCCAAGTGCCCGAGTGGCAACAGATGTCATTTGTGCAGTTCTGGGTTCAAGGAGCTTGCACGCAAAAAAACGTAGTTTACGAAAACAAGTGTTAACTGTGAGAAAAACATGGGGGGGGGGGTATAGTCTATGTCGGGGAGTCCATGCGCCCTATTCGTTTGAGATATAATGAACACCTGCGAGACGCTAAAAACAAAACGGGGAATACCCCTTTCGGTGACCATTTTTTGGCAAAACACGCTCAGGCTGAAATCGAGGGAAGTATGGACCCTATGCCCCTTTTAAAGCTCAAAGTCATCTACAGAGCGCAGGACCACACAGACAGTAAATAAGTGAACCCATTCCTATAAAAAGTCGGCGACGAAATCTAAACATACGGGGCTCATCATGGCAAAATATGCGAACCTGATATGTGCCTCTATGTGTGATGTGTGCCAGCTTAAAATCATTTACATGTATAAGTGATGCCTGACGCGAACGTGCCATGCCTGTTCAACGGAAATCGTTTGCATGCATAACTGGTGCCCGATGTGTGATGCCTGCTTATCTTAAGTTCGCTTGCGTGTTCGAATGAAGCGTGATATGTGATGCCTATTTGCTTGAATTCGTTTGCATGCACACAAGTCCGGCCATTCTAATTCTTAGATAGGCACTGTATCCTGGTAATGGCTGGCAATCGCTCTTTGTTAAATCCCCTGAGCGTTGGCGTCCTTTAAAGGCTGTGGTTTGCCCTTTCAAAAAAGCAACTGAAAATTCGAGTAGGATCATCGGCAGGTAAGTTAGAATTTACTTCTGCTATTGTTTCGAGAAAGGCATGTTGCCGAAATATCAATCTAACTATATCTCCATTCTCCCGGTTTTTTCCGAGGCATGAGGCTAACACTACTGTCTTATGTATGCGGCTAATGTTCCTCGCTAATGCACTGAACGACTTACACCATTGTACCTTGTACAACATTAATTGAGAGCCAACTGATGGCCTTTATATCTGGAAATCGCGCTCACCAACACTAGACATGACGACTCGACAATTGTCTTGTTTGACCTTGGTTACCAAATGGCTAAAGGAATAACAGGATTTGAATGACATGATTACAGCATCATGGATGCCTGGGTAACTTTAAAAGAGTCTCCCCGAAATAGCATTCGCACCTTTGCGGACATGTAGCTCAGAAACTAGAGGGGGATAAGGTCTTACGAAGGGCAGGGCTGTAAACTGCACAGAACGATCTTCAATGTGGCTATTTCCATCCAGAAACCCATACAAATGTGTGACGCTCTCTTTAAAAAGTTTGTAACACGTGACCTCATGAAGTGCCCGAGCAATTACCACGGTTTTGCGCTAACGTACCACAAAGCTCGGTTGGTCGCTTCTTCTCAGTTTGCTTATTAACACTTTTGGCAACAGAATTGTGAATTTTTCGTGCTAGCCTCCATCAGTGATCTTCTTTTACATCCCACACCCACTCTTTCAGTCGCGCAGCGATAACTCGTACCCGGGTCCTCGATGCAGTACAACACGGAATTTCCATAAACTAATTCAAATCACAATGTGTTTTACCAAACTGCACGCGCAGTCCCAGACCTAATTTCGAATGCCTATGCCGCTGACTTACGTTCTGCCGTGCAGGAAATGTGCGGGGTCCACCGCATGCAAATATTTCGAGACCCAGCATCAGCCGATCGTGACACGTGCCGACTATCAATAGATTATGCCGACCTCAGCTATCTTCCGGTGTAGAACTTCAGGTGGTGCGATGTTTCCTGCCATGCTGCTTTTACATGTCAATACGCGAACAGTTAACAGTGATTTACACATAATGTACGAACAGTGATGTCATTTTTTGGAAGCATTTTTTATATTTAGACCAAACCCGATGATTGCTGACCGACCCATCTGGTTGAGCAGGTGTTGCCACAGGGTACAGACCAGAGACCAGCTTCATTAGCTGGGGCTGATGATGCTTTGAACCAGGATCTGGGTGCCAGCGGAAATCCTGCGTTTACGTCACTGTGCAGACAACCTTGGGCATCGTAGCAGCCAAGTTCTTGCATACTTTTATCCGCATAACTCGCCGGAGGTGTGCTATAAAACGTTGGATAAGCACTGTGCCCTGTATTATTGCAACAGCGTCAAGCTCACGATCGTTTGTGCGTCGCACTACACGGTCGTCATTCGACTCGGCTATGAGATCACAAACAGGATGAAAAATCAACAGTTTTGGCAGAAGTCGGAGCCCGAATTACACCATAAGTTGTCAATGCCAGACATTTCCGTTAGCGGCTCCTGGCTGCACCACCACACAACACTACTAAGTGAGTAACATGCATCTGTGCACTGCCACGTGCTATGTGCATTATATGCAGATATACAGAGTCTAATTAAATGCATTCAGTTTCCATTTCTGTATTTATTCACGCTAACGCAATGAATGGAAATTGAATGCATGAAATGCACCAATAAGACATATGTCACCCTAGGTATAATCACGGAAAACGAGTGGCTGCAAAACAAATCATAAGCGCCAACATGGCACACTGGGATGATCAGCGCACGAGAACCTTTATGTAGACTACGTAACTGGATAGCATGCTATACTTTGCGACTATCAAGTTTTGTAGCACATCATCAGAAGTCAGATTTGCACAGCGACAAGAAATGACTTAATTCGTATCAACAGTGGCTTAACACTTCGTCAAGGTACAAAGTGCATAAAACAACTAAGCTTATTGCTATAATCAGAAACTTAATGGCTACAGCATTATCACATGAAGGCAAAACTCAACCGCAAAATGAGGATCACGACAAACACCACCCAAGGCACAGCTTCCGAAATGCGCAAAAATAATTAGTTACTGCTACAATCTCACATCCACCGAACTCAATCATTGAACAGCTATCAGTCAAACACAAACCTTATTTGTGCAGTTACACCCGCAACATAAGCTAAAATGGCGCAAAAACCTGCGACCGCGCTACTCGCGCCATCTACCGGGGACATGGTAACTCCGCCCAAGGCCATCGTGCGACCTGCCACCTGGCGGTGCCCCCCCGTCACCGGCCGAGGTCGCTCTTGCGACGGCGCGCCGTGTCGTGCCGGTAGTAGCCCACCTGCGCCAAGATCGCCACGTCGATCATGATTTGGAGAAAACCGCAGAGCCAGAACTGGGCGGGTGCCTCGCGCAGAATGAAGTAGCCCGTCTTGAACGTGTCGCCGCACGTCCACATCGCCACCATCTTCACGCTGCAAAGAACGTAGGCAGATGCACAGAACGGTCCACCTCTTAGAAGGTACTGTAAATCCTGGGTTATCCCGGCTGAGATGGTGACCCAGATGGATGAGACCTTCTAAATATTAAAGAACACAATCACTGATATGCTCTTTTCGCAAGCATAACGTCGCAAGTATTGCCCAAAGCAACCACACGCAAGCATTGCACAAATAAATCACGCGAAATCATTGCCACCAGTCAGCACCAGCATTCAAGTACTGCCGCTCCAGTGCCCTTATGCGCATTTTTGTGCTTAAATATGCATGAAGCTGTTACAAAAGCTCACACTCAGAGCTTTAGAAGATCCGGCCAGCCAACCACATCTTAAGACAGGACCATGCCAAACTGGGGCCTGCCAAACATGCCAAAAAAGCCTCATCGGGCCAAAAACACATGAACACCATGAACTTTTCACATAATGTCTAACAGTATGATAATCACAGGCAGTGTCAGAGTGGGTAGGCTGAACGACTGCCCACCACGTTTTCAGACAGGGTCGGCGAATGCCGCCTTTTGCCCACCCAGAAGCTATGGGCGTTTATACTTACAAAACTATATAAAGGCCTGAAACTATAGGCGTTTCCTCGAAAGCCGTGCCGGGCCCCGTACACGATGGTGGTGGCAAAGATTAGCAGCAGCGGGAGGGGCGATCCGGATCACGTTCAAAACGTAGTGTAATGATCGAGAGAAGGCAACAGATATGAAAGGATCACGCATGATTATCGGGTGATCGTGCTACAGAAGGCCCCTGTCTTGCATGGGAGAAGGGCACAATAACAAACATTACAAGAAGCTGAACATCAACATATGGTGGGAGACGCGTATGAGAGAAGAGCGTCCGTTCGAAGAACCCTGTATGCATTAGCTGGTTTCACTTAACTATAACGACGCTGCTATTGTACTTATACGCTGCTATTGTACGTAGAATCTCACGCATGTTCGAAAGTGCCTCTATGCTTGTCTCCAAGAAAGGATGGCGCGCCTGCGCCCTCGGGAAGTTAGCCGCATTTTTCCAGAGGAAAACAGTGCCTCATTCGCTTTAGTTTGGGTTCCTAGGAAATATGTACATCCCTAAATTTGCGCCACGAAGCAGAGCCAGGCATAACCCAGACCATAATGCAATGTGACGACTTTTCAGTCTAAGGAAACTGGTTTTTATGGTAAAGTTTCGCCATGGACACCAGCCTGTCCATCTTCAAGACATCCCCGATGCCAACCCTGATATTAAGCATAAAAAGCAGACGAAATGCTGGTGAACAGCCTACGATTTGGAAAGACCACACCTTAATAGTGAAACATTTTCAGCCTTTGCAAACGTCAAAAGAAAATAGCATTTCCCCAATGTGAAGCACGCATTACAAGATGATTGTGAATGGCATTTTAATTTCAATAATAGAAGAAACGGTACTTTGCTCTGATTGGCTGCGCACGAACCTCATTCCGTATGTTGACTTTTGCTCGAAGTTCTTGTAGAACTGCGGTGCTCCCAGCATGGCCTCCGTAAAAACGGCGAGAAATCCGATCGTTTCGACAAACCAAGGATTGTCTGTGGAGAAGACATGGAGAGCGGCCTCAATCACAGCCCGGGTGAAGCGTGAAGACTCTTGCGTGCCCACTGCTAATGGTGTACCTCTGGCTGCAATTGTGCAAACTCCATCGGTTTAAAGATGATTCTCGTCGTCGTTAAACCGCAAACAATGGCGACATCCCGCACTCGGCAAAACCCACTACGTGTTAGCGCTGTGGGGCAATCTTTCCACACATCACCACTGCGCATGCAATGCTGATTTAACTGCGTTAAAAAAACATGCCTGATCAGCAGCATAAGAGGAAACAGCCGTGCAAGACACTTGAACACTGTACGACATCGGGGCAGCTCCAAGCTACGTACCGATCAAGAAGTACATCAGCACGGAGCCCACCAGGGCGAAGGTGAGCATGCACTCCACGTACGACTCGAAGTCGGTCCACTCCCAGAAGTACCGCATGTCAAAATCTGCCGAAACAAAACAGTTGTGACGAAAGACACCGACAGATCGGCAAAGCCCAGTGCAGAACGAGCTCTCTTCATTTTTTTTCACGAAGCGTCAGCGCGCAATCCAGTCGTGGGCCAGCAACGATTACGACGGCCTAGACGTAGTGTTTTTACTGTCAAGGATGCGTTGAAGGACCTCCGCTTAAACCACGAATCGCATCTCCGTGGTTATTTGACGTCATCTCAACTGAGCTAACTAATACTTTGCCGTGTACAATGTTATGTGCCAAATGCACAAAACGTGCGACATGATCCTCACTATCTAATGACGTATCTAATGATGCATGATGCATCACACCAAGTACACAATACACCACACTGGCGTGTTTGAGACACTTGGGAGGGCGCAAAAACGGCCCCCGTAGGTAGCGGAACGGGACAACTTCCCCCCCCCCCGCCTTGCACTTGATTTCCCAGTAGCCTGCCCAATATATAGATTGCTTCTTAAAGATCCAGTGCTGGAGCCCTTGGTAAGCGTAGTCCACCAGTTCACCGCAAAGCCCGGCAAACCCCGTTGGAGAAGTTATGTGCCGGTCCGTACATGTTATGTCGCAAGGCGGCTCATTTGGGGAGCGCAAGACTTGCCAGCGCGCTGTGGGGCAGATCTGTGGGTACGCATCCCAGAAACCACGCTGATGTTATTCGTTTGCGGCGGTCAGTCTTCCATTGGCCGAAAGTCAGGCTGCTGGGGCAATGTGCGGCGCATTACAATATAGTCAGTAATCGTCGCCGAACTGACAATGCTGTACTGGGCGGCAGGGTGGTGGCAACGCCTCTTGGGCGGGGAGTGGTGACAGTGCTTTAGTGGGCGGCGGGGTGGTGGCAACGCCCCATTGGGCAGCGGAGTGGTGACAGTGCTTTAGTGGGCGGGCGGGGTGGTGGCAACGCCCCATTGGGCGGAGGAGTGGTGACAGTGCTTTAGTGGGCGGCGGGGTGGTGAGTGCTTTACTGGGCGGCAGGGTGGTGGCAGTGCTTTACCGGGCAGCGGGGTGGTAACAATGCTTTACTGGGCGGCGAGGTGGTGGCAGTGCTTTACCGGGCAGCGGAGTGGTGACAATGCTTTACTGGGCGGTAGAGGTGGTGACAATACTCAACGGGGCGGTTGAAGTGGTGACAATGTTTTTCTGAGCGATGGGGGTGGTGCCATTGCTTTTCTGAGCGGTGGGGGTGGTGACATCGCTTTTCTGAGCGGTGGAAGTGGTGACAAGCATTTGCTGGGCGGCGGGGGTGGGATCTTCGGAACAATCTACGTTTAGCAAGGACTGATCCCGAATTCACCCCTGCAAACTCTGCAGTCAATGTTTGAAAAACGCACGACGATCAAATTGGAACAATACGGGCCATCCCATCTATGATTGAATAGCATGAACCTTACATGCCAAGAGCTGTAGAGAAATAATTCCGTGGATTGTCGTACTTGCAGTCAGCTCGCCAACTGCATCACGCCGAAGTGCAAAGCAATGCCCCAGCTAACCTGTGAAGGTGCGCTCCTTGTACTTGACGATATGCTGGCGGCTCTTGACGGCAACGCAGACGTGGATGAGCGCCAGCATGACGCCGTTCATGATGACGCTCTGCGCCAGCAACGGCAGCTCGAAAGGGTGTCCCATCCTGACCAGAGGGGGTGAGGGTCAGCACAGAGAACTAGAAAACAGAGGAAGCAGGGGGGGGGGGGGCGAAAAAAAGACAACAGGGGCTCTATGCACATGGTATGGGTAAGATAAGCCAAGCTTGCGAGAGCGCGCGAACAGAGGTGATCCCGAGAGGCGGGGTCCGGCTCAGACAAGCCATGAGAGGGGTCATGGGATCCAGGTCAAAGCTGAGACGCTGAAGGAGGAGCGCAGGACAGACCAGGCTTGTGGTGAAATGGCAGTGTGAGGTGTCCAGGCTGGAAGGTGTTTTACTTCATTTGAAAAGGAATAAATTGCAATCAACATCCAAGGTGGCCTTGAGGTAAGAACATTTTTTAAACAACATTTGTTGTGCACACCACAAATATACCACCAAAATATGCTTAAGTAGCATATCCGAAAATAGGGCGGGATTCTGAGCCAATTGGCAGTTCACAATATATGGTATAGTACAAATAGAAAATGATATTTGTGTAAGTTAGGGCGGTTACAGGCTTAACCAGGATCAACAGCAACAACTGAATCAACCCTTGCTGAGACAGGTGTAACAAGATTGTAGCAATCAGTTGCTCACCAGAAAAGTATGCGCAGCGTGTTGGCGAGCAAGAGCGCCAGGCAGACAAAAAGTGAGAAGCCCTCTGTGTTCTGACTACGCTTGACTTCCAGGTACTGTGGGATGTAGGGCACGGCGCCGCCGAGCACCATGGCACCGGCCGACACCAGTGAGACGGCCTGCACCAGCAGCGCGGCCGCCTCATCCTCCCAGGCCGGCGCCGACGCCGCCGCTGCTGCCGCCGCCGCCGCCGCTACCGGCTCCACCATTTCGCCGGCCGGAGCATCCACCATGGCCGCCATAGGGTCCCTAAAACAGGCAGGCATGGAAACAGTCAGTAAGGGGCAGGGTTTTGCTGCCCTTGCTGTTCATCTTGTCATTGATTATGTGACCAAAACATGCAAGGCAAGCTGCCTGTGTTATCTGATGATTTTGTTTTGTATTAAGTATTTTGCACTGTCCAACAATTCAAGTACCCAGGATGACCAAAAGCAGCAGTGCTGCAATCTACAGTGATGTCTCCACCACTGAATACATGACATTTTTCCAAGTTCTACAGAGCTGAGATAATTTTTGGGGAAATGGTAGCTAGGAACATCTTGTTTCTCATTTACATGGAATACCTACTGAAAAAATCAACAATTACATAAGATAACCTAGCTTACCGACACCAATATAAGCTGGTAGCAATCCCAAGCATAGAATCTTGCACATTAGTACTTCTATGCTCAAGCAGCACATGCATCCTCCAATGATATTAAAAGTTCCACACACCAATATACAAAATATAAAAATTTAGCCTACAATTTTGATAAGATGCATTTCTGTGAGGTGTGCCCACACAAAACAGTACACCAGGGTAAAGGACAGAAAATATTTCATATAAACCAATTTCAAGTCATTTCTACTGACAAGATCACACAAAGATTGATCAAACAGCAGGTATTCTGATCAATTAGGCTATCAGCACTGATACATCATGCAGAAGGTATCAAAGTGTTGATGCCTAGACATACCTATTCAACATTTTTTTAAAATGGTGCACAAACTTGGCACAAGTATATGCTAAATTTTGTGCACACCATATTACTCTGCATTTCTCCATAAATTTTGCTCAAAAAAGTTTTATGATGTTTCATTGGAACATATTTTTGCAACTTTTATGATGCAATGAAACACTCAAAACATAGAAATTAATGCTGACCATGACAGATGATGTGGCACCAATTTTGTGGCATTAATAGCCTGATAATGTTGCTATACTTGGCTGGCCTAAGGATTACATTCACTTGGCATCCCTCTGTCTTAAATATAACACTGCCTAGAATGACCCCTGCAACAGAACCCACTTTGTCCAGGAGACACCATGGAAAAGCCTGTTCCCCCATCTCAAAATATGTGATGCTGCCCCGGTTATGCTATAAAAATTTGGGATCACATATTTTTATAACCTGTTCACCATGCACCTAGCCTCAGGATGCATGACAGTTATCCTTACTGATACAGTGAAGTTAATAGGAAAATAAGAGTAGTTTTTTATATATTTTGCCTGGCTCAATCCTCTGTGCCAACAATTATGCATTAACCTCTTGGCTACTGGCCACAGGTAAAATATTAGGCTAATAAACTGGTTTAAACTTTCCAAAATAGGTGAAATGTAAGATCATGAATACCACAGCTACAGAAATATGTGTGCTGCACTGGACTCTGATGTAATAAGTGCACTGAATCTTGCCTTTATGCCTGGAAAGCTGAGACAAATCCAAATTGTGTTAAGTTCAGCATCTTTTGGTGACCTAGCATTTCGAGTATCCTTGCCTAAAATTGCCACTGCAACATCAAATTTTGTTATAAACATGGGCCCTCTAACTGCTGAAATTGACGATGAGTACCTACCGCACCCTCAGTGCTCTGATTCGCTGCATACAGGCGCTAAAATTACTGCCCCGATGTGCGTGCCACGTCTGACATGCTCACATCCCGACATACTTTTCCTGTTTGGCGCATGGATGTGGTTCTACTTACCCCATCTTAGCCCTCTGCTACCCGTACCAAATGTCCTCTATCCAAGCTGGAAAATGACGCAAAGTTGAAGGTTACTTCAGCAGGATGAAAACTACAAGTCCCACCGTAATTATATCACGTCAATACCCTACCCCATTCACCGGGCTCCACCCTCCACACGGCCCCAGTTCTCAGCCCCCCGCACGGCCTCAGGTGCCACGACTTTGCAACTACTATTGTATGCCTGTGTTGCGCTATTATTGTCCCCAAAGCGTATAGTGATGGATATTATGAGTGGCACGTTATCTCCATTGCTCGTACTCGTCGGTGAGTTCTCAATTAAGTGAGATATACCTGTAATTAATCGTGATGGTAATGTTATCGATGCACACAAAATACACCAAAAAGTGACTTTAAACCAGTGAAGTGAGTTGTATTTATTGCTGTGATGCTCACAAGAAAAGGTACTTTTGGAATTCGTGATCTTCTGATTTCGGTAGCTCGACACTACGAGGCAGACAAGCGACGCGACCCTTTCACGTGTCAGAGAGGCAGGCGTCGGTTCCCCCGTGTCTGGTCGTGGGTCAAACACTTACTTGGCGTTTGTAGCAGACTAAGGCTGTTTCGAGATGGCAACGAAGAACGCTAAGGACCTGCTATGGTTCGATAAGTCAACCTATGACGATGCGGAGCGAAAGTATTACGAGCGGCTTTCGCGAGGGGACGCAGCTCCATCTGCCACGCCGGTGTCGTCAGTCGCCAGCGAGATCGCAAAAGCAAGACAACATATCCAGCAGTCTCTGCAGGCGGGTGGCGCCGGACTTAGCGGTGATGCCATCGCCAAGGTGTCTGCCATTGAACAGGAAAACATCGCCCTCAGAAATATATGCTCTGACATGTCCGAAATCATCAAGAAGCTGGAGGCACGTCTGGCAGCCTTGGAGCTAAAGGTAACCGGGCCAGTATCAGCTGCTCAGGCCAAGGCTGCCCCAGCGGCAGCCAGCAATGGTGATGATGATGACGATGATGTTGATCTGTTTGGCAGTGATGATGAGGCAGAATCTGCAGAGGCTCAGAGGGTGAAAGAGGAGAGAATTGCTGCTTATGCTGCCAAGAAAGCCAAGAAGCCAGCACTTATTGCCAAGTCCTCTGTACTCCTTGATGTTAAACCTTGGGATGATGAAACTGACATGAAAGAAATGGAGAAAGCTGTTCGCACGGTCCAAATGGACGGCTTGGTCTGGGGTGCTGCCAAGCTTGTTCCATTGGCATTTGGGATTAAGAAGCTTTCTATCATGTGCACTGTTGAAGATGATAAGGTGTCCATTGAAGAACTGTCAGAGAAGATTGAGGAGTTTGAGGACTTTGTCCAAAGTGTTGATGTTGCGGCCTTCAACAAGATTTGATCGTCAGGAAAACAATGGCACGCTGATCTAATGGTAAAATCTAATCATTCTGGGGCAATATGGCCTGTTTCAAGTCTGTCAACATAAAAAAGTTCAAAGTACTTTTGATAATTTTTGTGAAAAGTGTCAAGTGAATACACCATGACAAAGCAAAGCATATTTTTTGTTTGCCAATACCTGTGAATAGTGTATTGCATACCAATGACATTCACCATTCCCGAAGTTCAACAGTGCTAGCAGTAGTGTATATATTGTTAGAAGCTGAAATTTGTTAGTTTGTTAGGTGTGCCCCTACATTCCAATCTGGGGTGCTGGTAGTGTAGTGGTTAGCTTGTCTGGGAAACCAGAGGTACTGGGGTTTGACTCCCCACAGTGCCCGCCCTTCCTGCCAGGGTGAGAGGCGGGCGACACCATATGGCCTCAGGGGCTGAGTGCGTGGTAAAGCCCCAATCACACACACACACACACACACACACACACACACACATACATACATTCCAATCTATGGAATTGGTTGTCACATTTCTGTACAATGTCTTGATCCACATAAGTTATGAACAAGCTGAACACCTTTAATCTGTTTTGACATCCAGTATCTCCCAGTGAATAATGTCTATCATCTTCAATCTGTTTTTACATCCAGTCTCCACCCAGTCATAAACATTTTTCATGGAAGCGGGCTTCAGTATGATTTTGTTGAAGGGCATGAGAATCAAGGCTCAGAGTATCAGGATGTGAAAGTCTAGGGCACAAGTTCAGAAAAATGGGCACAAATCATCAAAACACTTGACTTGCCCTTGAAACTCGATAGCTAACTGAGACAAGAAGAAGTGGGAGGTTGGAGGCAATTCATTTTTGGAGCAAACAATCCTTTCCACAGATTGCTCTAGGGCTGGTGCTTCACTAATGAGAACTAGAACACTAGGCATAAACATGTCTGAGATTGGTGGAGTTAGGGAAACATCAGGATTGGAGAAGTTCAAATGAACCATTTAGGACAACCTTGCCAGTGAATGAGATTTTTCGGGGGAAAATATGCATTCCAATGGCAGCATTCAAGGGGATGAAGTTCCACCTTGTAAAAATGTGGGTGGGGTATATCATCCCCATCCCCCCCGTGATTGTATTCATAAAACTCGCCTATCTGCTTGCCCGCCCCCATGTACCTGCACCTACAAAATGATCTGGTTAGGCCTGCGGTCACGAGACAACCAATATGCACCATTACACCGCCACGAAAGCAAACTAGGCTATGGCAATATGTGATGCAATGAATTTATGATTCCACTCAGTTCATACGAGCGCCGCAAAACCGGCTTAGGACTCCATGACAATTTCGACCTGTCCATTCCAGTGCAAGGTGCAGATGCGCTAGGTAAATAATGCATTAGCATAAATTAATAGCATGACTCCAAGGAACTGCTCTGGTTGCAAACGAGGTTTGCAAACTTATCCCCTTTCGTGCAACGTAACACATAGCAGACCTAAACGGATCCGGGACCCCGCCCGAGGCCTCGGGACCTACGATTTAGGGTCCGATTTGAGGACTCGAGGGGTCCGAAAGGCTGACCAGAGGTGGCATGCAAGGGCCCGGGCCGCAGGGCCGGACGCTTCAATGTTATCCAGAGGGCCGCGCGCTAAGCGGGGACTACCTGAGTCGATAAGGGTGTATGTGTCTGCCAGACACGACCAATTACGACAGTCTCCTCCGCATCGGCACGGGCCTGAGGGCCCATTCTTCTAGCAAGGACAAAGCAGGAGCCAGCGATTTACATGGTTAGGGCCCCAAGCATCTGTCGGGGGGCCATAGCGCCTAACAAGGGCCCTGTGTTGGCGAGGGGCCGAATCGGCCGGAGGCAGTGTTCGAGGAGGCCCTAAGGCCCTGGAGGGCTCACAGGGACCAACGGTCAAGGGCCCGATTGGAAGGCTTGACGGCAGGAAGTGCTAGCTGGGTCTTCTTCAGGGTATCCAGCTTGCAGGGATGGGCAGAGGGCCCTTTGCGGCGATATAGGGCCCCTGAGTCGATATGGGCCTATATGTTGGTCAAGCACCACCAGTACCACACCGTAAGCTCCGTGTCGATATGGGCCAAGGACCCGCTTCCCAATCAGCTACAAAACCTGGGACAGTGATTCACACTGGTCGGAGCCCCAGTATCTGTTCGGGGCCCGCAGTACGTAACAGAGGGTCTTATGTTCGCAAGGGGCCCAGAACCGACCAAGGATATCGTTCGATGAGGCCTGAAGAGGGACCCAGGCGGCCCACTGAAACCGGCGATCGAGGGCTCGGTTGGAGGGCATAAGGGTCTGAAGGGCTGGCTGTGAGTCACAAAGAATCGCAGCCCTTGGGGTCGTGACCTAGGATATCAGTCAGAGGACTCTTGCACCGTTTGGGGTCACCCCGAGGCAATGCGGGGATCTCGGTCGGCCAGAGACCACGAACACCGAACAGTTCGATTCCTGTCAGTCTGAACCCTGGGGCCCATTTCCCAAGTAGGAGTAAAGCCGGAGTCCACGACTTGCATTGGCCTGGGTCCCTGAAACAATGATTGGGGCGCCTGTGTCGGTCGGGCACCCACAGTACATAACAGGGGGTCGTGTGCCAATTAGTAGCCCCCAGTCGCTCACAGCCTTTGTTTGAGGATTCCGAAGAGCCTCTCGGGGCCAAAGATCAAGAGCCTGATTGGAGAGGTGAAGTGCCCGAAGGGCTGTGAGTCGCATTTACTACCCCGTCCATAGGGCCATCATATTCATTGTTGGTTAGAGGGTCTCTTGTACTGATTACGGTTCCCCGAGACAACGTGTTTCTCTTCTTCGGCCAGAGATCAACACCGAACGGCCGGGTGCGTGCCGGTCTGATCTCTTTGGGCCGATATCCCAAGCAGTGAGAAGGCCGGGCCCGCGATTTGCATTGGGCTCGGCCTTTCATTGCATTTGATTCCCGCATCGGTCAGGAGCCCGGTGCCTAACAGGGTGCTCCGTGTAGACGAGATGCCTCGGGTCGGTCAGGACTCAGCGAGGACGTGGACGGAACCCCGAACGACAGAGGACCTCATACGTTGGTCGCGGCCCTCTGGCAATGAAAGCGAACATTATAACCTAATGTAAGTGTTTACACTGAGACAAAGGAAAAGTCTTATGCCAGCCAGATGCACCAGTGCCGAACGGCGGGCCCTCCACTCTAAATTCAGCATGGGCCAGTTAAGCCGAAACGGAGTCTGTGTGCCAATTGTTGGACCACCTGCGGCGATCAGGAATGTTGTTGCGTCATTGGGGGTTACTGCGTCGATCCGGGCCAATCACGCAGGTCAGAAGGCCTGTCACGTCAGGAAACGATTAATGTGATATGGTGTATTCCTTAAACGTCCTCCAGATCGTCCAGGGGATCTCGCCCTGTGTCGCCAGAATGGCAGCCCGAGTACACTCGGCGATGGAACGGACTGGCTCTCCAGCACTTGACCGGGAACACTAATGCACCTTCTTGTGTCCTTCTCAAAAGACCCTCTTACCCGGAAAGAAATTAAGAGGTTTCACTAGTGTTGAAAGGGATGGGACGGAATGAGCTTTGAAACTAACAGGGTCATCCCTGTTTCCTGAGACGCCCATTCTTTTGCAGAATCGATTAATAAAGCAAAATACATCAAAAGATTTGAACCTGCGCGCCCGAAATCTCGGGAACAGACAGCGATGGTCTGCGTTGCAGCTTCCGGAAAACTGAACGGCGTTGGCGACTTCAAGCAACATCACGCGCCCGCGCGAGAACGACCGTCGTGAAATAATGGTTCCAAATGTCCTTCCCCTTTATTCTCTGAGATTCTGCTTTTATCCTTCCAGTTCCACCACCAGATTCGAGCCAGCACCACTTCACGGTGCTGTAAATGTCATTCTGTTATTAACACTGATCTAAAAATCGCACCGGTGAAATGCACGCCCGTACTACCCTCTTAATGTACGATTTAATGTTTTAAAGCATTGAAAAAAACTTTCAGATGGGTCATCATTTTTGTTCACCGTTGACCACGACTTAATGTTAGCCGCAAGGCCAACACCGCACGGCTTACGGAGACTGCCTGTCGCCTGTCATGGAGTTTTTGTTACTAAGGTTTGCGAGCGCGCACGTTCAAAACTACGTACATAATTCGTATCACTAATCGATTCTGGCCTAATGTTGAGTATTTCAAAGCCAATATGGCTTGGCCAAACAAGTAAAAACTGTTGACCCATTTTGATCTGCAATCTGCATTCGTGGGGTCTCTGATATCTCTAAGAGCCCACGTGAAAATTTTGACGAAGCTTCTGAATCCTATCGTTTTAGAAAGAGCCCACTAGGCCGTTGCATAACGTAGAGCGCCGGCGTTCTACTTCATCCAATCGTTGAACACATGATTTCTTCAACTGACTGACAATAAAATTCGGCCAGAATATATTTTGCGGTAGCTTCTCGCTTCTTTTCAAGCAGCGGAAGGACAACGGAAAAAATCAATGAAAAGCGTAACCCCATGAACAAATGGACCCTATCTGATAAACTTGGGGGCCTTATGACTACCATGGGGCTCTTTGTTAACTCTGTACCCCCTCTGCCTAGCCGATGCTTCTGTTCAATGGCCTTGGCTTCGGCTGCGCGACTGTATTCGCCACATACCCATTCAGCGTGGATCCTTCTCCATCGATATACTGTAAATCAAGCAGCTCTTCTCTAAACGTATCGATAGGTTGTGCTCGCTCATTTCGACGAAATACACAAGGTTATTTTTTTAAAAAAACAATTTTTTGTCCTGAAAAAAATTAGGATCATTCAAAACCCACCCTGAACTCTTAAAGATCACGAGAAATAGCGATATAATCTGAGGTGATAAGCAACCGTTTTCGGTGGCGCTTTATCTTCACGAAAACTCATCCCTACCTCTACAGACCGCAGGGAAAAGTGCGAGTGGGGATCTGCGTTGCATTGGAGCGGGGGACAGCCCGACGGCGCATCGTACAGAATGAACGCCATCGGGCGTAGCAGCACGATTGCATCGGCTTTTAGGATCACAACCCAGGCTATTCCATCAGGTGCAAGTGCAGTTTCTGCCGCGACGTCGGAGAGGCTGATCGCCGCTCCTGCGCAACCTAAGCTTACTAGTGAAATTTTACGCAGTGCTGTAGCCCCAAGAACGGCGCCCAGGGCTTCTGTTGGCGTTGGTGGTGAGCTTTTTGAACATTTCTAGCAATGATTGTTATTAAAAGTAGACATTTGTCATTTCTGTAAGATTTTGTGCCGTGATGATGATGACCATCACAATATTATTGTTGTGCATGTGAATGTTATGTAATCTGGTCATAATACAGCAACTCCATACAGTTTTCTGTCATTTCTGAAAAGCCTTTATTTTTAAGTCAGAATAATGGTTGTAACCCTCTTCACATCAGTAACCTAAAATTTAGGTGACAATTTTGACAAATCACTGGTGGTATGTTCTAGCCACTTAGGTGCCATCAGCAGCTTATTTAGGTAATAGATCACAGGCTGTTGATTGTTGTCCTTGTTTAGACATCCATGTTGGGTGCTGATTTTGTTCCTCTGTAATGATTATGCCATAATTTGGGAAATTAGGTAGCATTCCCCATCACCAACAGCTGTTCGCAAGTTGCAGCCTATGGCATCAGACGTAATGGCATCAGCACAGTTCTGGCAGTGTGGAGAATAGTTGCTTATGCGATCTGGGGGGGCTAGGTTCACTAAGGGACCTCCTTTGTGCTGTCTACCAGCAAGTGCAGCTGGCCATGTGCTGCTGGCCATAGGGAATGCTGCCCAGGCATGATGTCTGAAGTATATTGGCATTAATATCCTAAATTATGATGCGTGCCATAATTTAGGCAGTTTTCCCACACAATCAGCTTACTAGTTGCAAATTTCAGCTATAATTGAAAACTTTGGTGAGTGTGATGCTGGTGGATGTTTGCATGATTTGGACATTGCAGGATTTGGGCTAGAAAATGACTAATCTGAACATGCTTATAGCATGTTGGTGATGAGGTTGCACTACCCTGTAGTATGAACATCAATGCCAGGCCTTAAGGGTTGTTAAGAGCATGCCTTTCAAAGTGTTCCAAGGTTAGGGCATTTCCTGTAAGCAGAAATCATATAGGTAGATGGCACAAAGGTGTAGACTGCTAAAATTTGTAGGAAGCATACATACTGATTGGTTTGCTGAGCTCATGCTCAAATTTGAAATCCATAAGGTAGTACTGAATTATGATCATATGTCACCACACCCACATATGGTGCATGCAGTCCCTCATGACCTGTGAGGCATATCACAGTGTCTCTGAATGTTTTGATGTGCTCATGCTGTATGCTGCATTGGCAGTTTTACTCCTACATCGTTTTACATCACCCTTCATTTCTGCTTTGCCATGAAGCCACAGCACAGGGTTGGAACACAATCATAACATGGTTGATTGGTGACATGGCAAACATTTCATATTCTAAACCCATTCACTGACTCCATGAATGTGAACTGATTTAAAAGCTGTACATGATTATGTTGTCAAACCTGGTCCTGGACTTGCAATTGCTGCCTTTATCCCCATGTGTGCAGAAGAACACTGCTGTGCTCTGGATTTTCCCCTTAGCGTATTGTTCTGTGGGGCCGGCAGTTGCGTCACAGGTACGATGTGCACACACGGACATCCCGGTTCCGGACTTCAGCGACTACCGGCGCAGTGCCACCCGCGACCCCCATGCCCGGGCTGACGAGACTCGTGCTCCACGCCAGACCTTCTCCTACCTGATGGCTGGAGGTGAGACTTACCTGCTGCTGATGCTGGGGGAGGGCAAGGAGGCAGTCTGAGACATCATGATAGCTATGGGAAGAGGAGGGTCATCTGGTGCCTGGTTGCAGACAACTGATGAGCTTTGGCTGTCAATGAACAAGGTTGGCTGAGTCTATTTCATGCTGTTTTGCAAGTTCAGGCCATTAATTACATTATTTCCAATGTTTGTTTCTGTTTTTTAGCACCATTTATTTTTGTTAGACACTGGCTCTTGGTTACTACTGGTTCTGTTATGAGTACCTTTCGTCTTAGATCCTGTTGATTGGTATCACTGGACACTGCTGCATATTTCATGTCAACTCCTTGGTAAACATCAGACACTGGTTTCTGGTTCCTGTTCATTCATGTATAACCATCAGTTGCCTGCATCCTCAGTTTGTTAGTAGTTTGACATCATATTTCATGCATGTCAGTTCCTGACTTTTTTGCAAACAGACAAATTTCAAGATCCCATTCCCTTAAAAACACCAGGTGCTTGGTCCTGGTTTCCTCTCCTCCTTTTTTCAAAACCAGAAGCTGGCCCCTGGTTCCCTTAAGTTAACCCACAAAGCACCAGATCCTGGCTGCCAGTTCTCGCTGGCTTATTCAAGGACAGAGGCAGCGCAGCACTGACGATAATGGCGTCGCCCGGCAGCCGGCAGCGTGGGCGCGGCGTATGGCGCTAAGTCTGTGGTGTCGCACTTCGTCTCGTCCCTCTCTGCGTCCGCCGATGTTTTGGCACTTGCCAAGATCGAGATCAACTTGAACGACATCCCAGAGGGCAAGAACATCACCTTCAAGTGGCGTAATAAGCCGCTCTTCGTCCGGCACAGGTGAGGCCTGAACAATCACCTGCATCCAAAGCTCATGTCTCACGGACGTGCGCGGATCGCTCCTGTCTCCCGTTCTCACTTGACACCGTGTGAAACCTTTCATCGGTTGTTTCCGCATCAGTTCTGTTGTTTACCAGTCTTTGACTTGATGTCGTACTATTGGCCAGTGTCTGCTTCCTCCGTACGCGTCCCCGCGCGCGTTCCGCTGGTCCCTCTACTGCCGACACTGATATGCAACGCTAGTTTTGTGCGATAAAACGTGTGCTACAAAAGCTTAAAACCAGCATTACTTAAGCTGTAAGATCTTGACAGTCATAACTTGTACTAAATCTTATTTGTATGTGAGTGAGTAGTAAAAACAGCGACACAAACATTTATTCTACAGGCATAACTTGTGCACATTTCTTCTACTGCAAAGACCTATGCACAACATTTGGCAATAAACAGCAAAGCTTGTCCTTTAAAAATGTATGCCAGTGATTACCTCACCGCAAAAAGTTATAACCATTGAATCGATGCAATATTACGTTTGCTGCGAACGCTTAGCTGTGGAGTGCAAAATGTATGGCGACCTTGTAGGGCGTTTGGAACAATTATCAGGCTGGAAGTGAACTTTCAACTGTGCAATACTGCAATGAAAACTTCGAGGTTCATATACGAAAATGGTTTATTAGTTATGCTAGGCTTATTTGTCCGTTTGTCGTGCTTGGCGTGTGCGCTTGGAATTTGAGTAAAGGCCGTAGTTTTGGTAGGATAATCCCTATAACCTATGTTACTTTAGAAGCGTTAGTTGTGTCATCTAGATGTGTAGTACCAAGACCTTATATAAGTCATGGCAGGAGATATAATGTCATGTGTTAGTGGACACCAGGCTAGGGATGTGTTCTCATTTTCATGCTCCTCTCATCTGTGGTGGGAAGGTGTGTCACATTAGAGGAAACGTTGAGTCTTTTTGTTATATTTTGGAGATTGGCCGTTTTCCCCTGCTTAGCCCCCGAACTGGTTTTACAACGCTATGACACCGCACTTTACATTGCATAATTCCACTTTGCATTGCTTAGTCAGGAAGAGAAATGTCGCGTGTAATATTTTCTGTTATGGCTCTGTCCGTCTCAGTATTTTCAGCAGCAATGATGTGTGAACACAATGAATTGGACGTTTCCTGTCTGTTTTCGCCCGTCCATGCGCTCCTGTGCGTCTGCTCCCCCGGGATTTCGGTTGGGCAAGGGATCGCGACGGACGTCGCCGCGTCAGTTCTATGGATCGCCAGCGACGGCATTGGCCATATTAGCCCTCAGGGGCTGTGGCGCTAGCGGGGTTCGAACGCGGGCCCCAACGTGGTGTCTGACGCGCGTTCAGCAGAAATAGCATCTCAGTGCAGTAATGACAACAGAAGTTTTTGCCATGAAGGCAATGAGTTTAAGTTTTTGAAGCACACTTTTTGGCGTATAGCTCTTACGGCGCGTATAAGTTTTGCAGCTGAATTTATGTCGTGTATAGGTGATGATTACTTATGCTATTGTTGTACAAATAATGGCGGATATAACTTTTTGAAGCACAATTTGTTTCGTACAGTGCTAATGTCACGTTGAACTCTTGGCAGTAAAATAAGTGTTGCGTGTGAGTAGTGACTGCATAGGTTTTGCTGTAAAGCAATGACGGGTATACGTTTTGGAAGTGTAAGTTTTATCGCGTAGCACTAACATCGTGCATAGGCATTGGCAATCGAAGCAGCGTTGCGTATACGTTAAGTGTGTAGAAGTTTGTAATTGGAAGGGATATCGTGTAGAACCAATGTCGCAGCACTCCTGTGTCATGCTGGGCGCAAAATGCTGTGGTAGTCGTTGCGCCCAAAAAATAAAAAAAAAACATCATGCTGTCTTGTTGTCCCTACGCCACTGACAACCTGCCGCGGCCAGGACTGCGGAAGAAATCCAGGCGGAGAAGAGCGTGAACTTGGCCACGCTGCGCGACCCGGAGCACGACGACGTGCGCGTCAAACAGGACCGTTGGCTCGTGCTGGTCGGCGTGTGCACGCACCTCGGCTGCGTGCCCATTGCCAACTCCGGTACGCACGCGGGGCCCGCTCCAGGCAGAGTGCTTAAGGGCGGGGCGACTACCCTGGACTCTGCTTGTCTGGGGGCCACTTGAGCTGCTGTTTTTTTTTCTCGCTGGGTTGACGTTGCTGTGGACGGTGTGCGTGGAACACGCGTGTAACTTATTTTCGTTAGTCACTGAGATTATGACAGTTTCGATAAGTTTGTTTTGCATTTTGCGGGGAAGCTGTGCTTGTGGTTCCGCACGTTCGTTGATGAAGGCGTTCGCGCCAAGCGTGCTATCGGTCAGAGACCAGATCTACTCGGACGATTTTTTTGCTATGCGATAGGCTTCATTTTGGAGTACGAGCACTTAATTAGCCGGACAGATTTGGTCGTGTGTCGGCCTGACCTGACCTGACCTGGACCGCGGTCGTGCCTGCAGGTGAATATGGCGGCTACTATTGTCCGTGCCACGGCTCCCACTACGACGCCTCGGGCCGCATTAGGAAGGGCCCAGCGCCGCTCAACCTGGAGGTGCCCGAGTACGTGTTCCAGACGGAAGACCTGCTGGTGGTGGGCTGAACGCTCCGGGCAGCGCCCTCGCCGGGTTGTTTATGGGGCGGCCTGGGTTGCCCCGCCCCGGCACTAGGTCAAAGTGGCGCATGCGACGATGCGGTGTGTAAATGTGAATACAGGTCTGTGTGGTGACCGAGTTGGTCAGAAATCCTTTCCAAAGATTGTGGCAGGATAGATTCAACGACAGAGATTGAACCGCGCTGTGCCGTTTTGTGGCAGTTGGTACACAGTTACACAAGTAGCTGCGGGGCGTTCTTGTTTATAGGTGATACAGCTGCCTGCCGAACATTTCGGAAAATTGACATCAGGTATTGGGCTTGGGATGGTGAGTGTGCGCACATAACCCCAATTTGTGGTCCTAACAAGTTCCTTAAAACTCTTGTTTGAATAATCCGCACTTACATCCGACCAGTCTATCCAGAGTGAATAGTGCTGCGTTTGCACAGCCGTCCGCATCGCGTTAGCACAAACCCAGCATAGCCGAGGTCTCCTCCGAGTGATGCGGGTCAGAAACCACCTTTTGACCCATTGTATATGTTATATATCTAACGCTATTGATTAATCATTACGTAATTGATGCTATTGACCGGGCCTGAGCCACTATTTACCCAGCTTTGTGCGCTGTGCTGTCCCCCTTAAGCATCATTTTGGCTGCAGTTTTTCCGGCTCTGTCCATCGCGGCACGACACGACCGGCGGCACCACTATTGGGACAAACCGTCTGTCTCTAAACAAGCAGACCCGGCGTGAATCTGAAGCCGAGCACAACGCAAACACCGACCACCGCCGACCGATTTATTGACCATTCATCTGAGCACCGACTGCGACAGGGGGTTCCGGCGGTCACGCGCGGCCGTTGAGCAACCACTAACGTCATGTCTGATTGAAAGTAACCCGCTGATCAATGGCAAGCATTCGATAAACCCGCCATTTCTCCGCTCAGGTCATTAGCATGGCCTGACTGACTGCGGAACGTAGTCGACGATTTACTGGGCTACGGTCTCGTTAAACAGAGTGGGCGCCAGTGGCGGACTCGGCTATCGTTAAGCGCGGGCCATTAAATTACCCTGGCATCCCCATTGCTTTCCCCTGCCGGACAAATCCCCTACAAGATGCCGTGGGGCACTTCGAAGATGTTACAATTTTCGAAAAATGTCAGGCCATTATGATAGGACCCTGACCAACAGCCACCACATTTTGTCGCATTATCTTAATACATCCTGGGCTTACAAAAGCTCTTGGTGCCTGTGATGTCCGTGGAACGCTGGCCACGCTTGCGACTGCCTACAATTTCCCCCTGGACCTCCCATGTAGGTCCCACGTGGGTGTTATGACCCATATGAATCGTCCATTGCATACGCCCGGGGCTTTCACTACACAGTGGGGCAGCAGAGAGGTGGGATCACACAGTACGAAAGCAGCAGCACGCAAGTTGTGCTCCTCGGCTCGGCAACACCCGGCTGGCAAGACACGCACGGTAGAAGCAGTCGATTGTGAAACGCCTTCGCGTCCTCAGCAACACGTGCAACATCCGATACGTCGCGGTCACAGCCCGAACACAGGCATACGAACGAACTACGCATAGATGTCCCAAATACTACGTCTATCCCACTGTTCGCGACGAAATCACGCACAAATCCCGATTGCATTGCTATAATCTCCAGGGCACATAATCTTTACGCTGCCACACCTTGACCAGACGAGACCCCGTCATTCATCAGGAACAGCACAAAATACCGGTGCCAAATGATATGGCCACTACATTACAGCGAGAGGTGACTGAATAATCCTTCCAAACGCCGTGCGTGCCAGCCCGGGAATGCGTGCGAGTCACGTGAACTCAACCAGCAGTAAAGAAGTGCGACATCACAAGCATCAGCCCAGTCCGCGGTTAAGTGTCAGTAACAGACGCCTGCGACGCAGCGGCCTCCCGCCCGTGATGACAGACGCCTGCGATGCAGCGGCCTCCCGCCCGCCTCTCCTGCCGCGGGGGACGAGCCAGTCTCGCGCAGGACAGCCCGCACTGCTCGCGAACAAATACCGCAGCGCGCCGCGACATCGTCCGATCTCCATCAGCGATCAGCACAGGCAAAAAGTAGCCCGGTGCAACCAGATTGTGAACAGACGCTCGAGCCCTCATGTCGTCCCGAGCTGGCAGGGGGCGCGCACGATCCCGCGCGCCTCCACGGTGGGGCCAGAATGGCTGCTCATTAAGAGCAGTCGGGCCAGTAGGCCCAATGACGTTCGTTACGGACAGCTCGAGTTGCCGTCTGGCACCACTCCACACATGCCAACCGCCATCTTACAAGTCACCCCGCCCAAACTGACAAATCAAACGGTCATGAAACACTCATTCCACAGCTTCATGACTGACCTTAATCTCGTATTGGTTAGCGTTACGTGTTCACGCGGCATCTCCGTCCATGCTACGAAATACCTTTGCTTATCACCAACAATAGGAAGCCCGGAACGAAAACTGGTAAAATTACTCTAGCCCAAGCCCGCCAATGAGTGTTAATGGCAGCATGGCACACAAAGAACAAATAACTGTCCACGGGCCGCAACACTCAGATTGTAACTTGAAAATCAGTCCTTGCAGTTCTAAGCACCGCACAAAATATCGCGGTTATCGACGTGCAGACAAACTCCCAGTATAGTTAAGCAGACAGCGAAATGGGCATCGTGTTCGGAATCCCTACCCTGTTAGGATTGCTTCGACGTGGTCCTAAGCCAGGGAACAGACGTTTGTCGTGTTGCTTGTCGGCACCGACTGTGCTCCTTACTGTACGGGCGTCATCTCTAAATATGATACAGCGTCCAAAGCAAATCCCAGAAAGATACCAAAGCGTTCTGTCCAAAAATGAGGCTGCCATCAGCCGGAGGAAAACGGAGAGAAGAATCCCGGTATCTTACGATCACGCGACAAAAAAAAGGTGGATTTCGGCGACATGCCCCTGCCAACCTGACGAAGGGGTCCATCATTCGCCCCTCCCCGTTCGGACCGCAGCTGGCCGAGCCTCCAGGGCCGGGCGGCTTCCTGCACGTGGTGAATTGGTACACCGCCACGTCTTCGGCGTCGTGCAATGCGAGCGAGTCGCTTTGGTGCGCGTCTCCCTGACCGGGTGGCCTCGGGGCTTCCCGGCGGGCGCGCTGCACGGCCGCCGACTCATCCCCAGGTCACCACATCACACCACCAGGTCGCCGTGCGTCTCGATGATGTAGTCGTGGTAGTACATCATGATCGCCATGGGCTGGCCCATGATAAGCGACATCCACACGATGACGTTGCCCAGTCGCGGGGAAAAGTACTTGTGGATGAACGCCGTCAGCGAGTCCAGCGGTATCTGGATGGTGAGAGTCCCGCTGTTAGCTATGCGAGGTGTCCTTCAATGAACTTCGCCACGGAAAACAAAAACAATGGCTGCAACATGCCTTAACAATCAAACCATTGGCACAAGCCACATGTGCGGTGCAATTTATTGATACGCTCCGAATGCTGCATCCCTTGAAATTGGAAAGGAAGCTTCTGGACACGTCGCGTATCAACCAAGCCGTAGAAACACTAATATGACCTACTGTTTGCACGGAAAGTCGAAGGGAGGGACGGGGCGAGGGGCAGAAAGACGGCAAAGCTCCAGTGTCCCAGCACTGAGCCCGGCCTGACCTGCGCCATCATGCCGAGGAAGGCCCAGACGCGGAGCAGACGCAGCGGCGCCGCCACCAGGTACTCGTGCAGGAACGCCGACATGAAGAACACCGCCACGGCCGCCGAGAACCGGCTGAACCGATGACGCACCAGCGGCAGGTACACGTGCCTGCAACGCCGGAAGCGCTAGTGGCGAGCACGTCCGCAGGCCGGCGGTGGTGCTGTCAGGCGGGCCGGTGGCTCATGTGCGCGCCTGTGACGGTGTTGTCAGATGCGCCAGTGTTGAGAAGGTGTCCGTATCTGTGTCCTGTCAGGCGAACTCGTCGCGGACACACAGGTCTTGTTTGCAGCGGTGCAGTGGCCGATGCACTTGCCTGGAACTGCGTTGTTAGGCGTAGAATTGTGTCCAAGATTCGCTAGCTTCGTAGGGATCAAGTCGCTATTTGCATATTTCGGTTTCTGTGTAACGTACACATAATCTATTCTATTTCTATCATAATCTATTCACAATCTATTCATAATCTATTCATAATTTACTCATAATCTATTCTATTCTATATTCTATTGACTGATGGAATAAGTACTCAGCCTATCTTCCTCGCGCAGCCTGCTGGTTTGGCCAGTTCATTTTCCGCCCGTCGCCTGGTATTGGGTCTTGAGACGGACTGACAGTGTTTGGCTTTCAGCCACGAATGCGTCACAACCAAACTTATCTCTTTGGAATTGCTGGAATCGAACCGGGGTCTTTTGACGGCGAGTGCAGCGCTCTACCACCTGGGCTAACCTTGAAGGACCTTACTGTCACTTCTAACCAGCCCTTCCCGGTTAGCTCAGTTGGCGGAGCGCGGGAACCACAATTAGAAGACCCCAGTTCGAGTCACAGCAATGCCAAGAGAAGAACTGAATTTGCGACGCATACATGACTGGAAGCCAAACACCATCCAGTGTTTTTCAGGACTCAGTAACATCGGACGGCGGTGGGACAACTAAATGGACGAAGCGTTGCGTGCATACTAACACATCAGATCAACGCGATCGTCCGATAATTATGCCATCCCTGATGTTTACGTCCCGTCTCAACCTTTACGTAAAACCATTAGTCAATGCGTTCCGCTATCTAAAAGGAAGTTGCAAATAACACAATGGATCGTTATCGGGTATCACGCACACAAAACCAAAGATTCACAGAAAGGTGGCAGAGGCTCCGCTTCTGCAGGCACGGGTCCCAGCCCGGTGGGCCGTCCGGGTTGGGACCTGCGCCGTCAGATGGGCGCAGGCCCCAAGCCCAACACATGGGCCGTCCATGCCAATCAAATCACAAATGACACGGGCGGCCCATCCGTTCCCCAATGTCTTACGGTCCGTTAGAGACCGCAATATAACGTAAAATAAGATGCACATGTGATGTGGAACTACATACTAAGGAGTCTCAGAACAAAAACAGCTTCACCCAGGTGGGTGTGGCGATGCCGATTGGGTCAACGGCTCGGCATTGCCTTTCAGTGCAGCCTTTGGCGAGATGTGGGGCATGTCCATCCCTCTGACGCCACTAGACTACGCTAGTTGTGAGGTGGATTTATGACGCAGATCTCGATGTTGCGCGTTATAATTCAAGGCACAGAAATAACGGAGCGCAGAGCGCAGCTGAAAGACAGCAAAATCTTCAGTCAAGATAGCGGTCAGAGTCGGACAGGCCGATTCCACTGAAACCGCGGTGACATCCAACACGATCACCCGTAGCAAAAACACCTAGGACTATTTCGAAGGCGAATTCCAGTCGAGAAACTGCGTCATGGCCGACGACTTTGATGAAAAACAGGCTGAAACACCCCTGGAAACGCAGCAGCAGTTGCTCATATACGTGGGTGTGGCGCGAGGAATACTATGCCAAAGAGGTTGCACACTTACGCCCTCTGTTACATGCCAAAGATATTTCGACATAAAATGATCCCGTGCCACGACACACTAATGTTCCAGAGACAAACACATACTGCAATGATGCCTCGATACCTTGTGCAGCACTACCTGCAATAATGTCAACACGCTTCCGCATCTGCCGCCTCCCACCTCATGGCGAAGCGGTGGACAGGGATGTTCCATGTGCGCCAGAAGGTGTTGATGTTGGGCGAGTTCCACCAGTCCAGGTAGAAGCGGCGATCCCCAAACTGTGTGAGCTCGCCCACTAGGTTCAGGTACGAGTGGAACACCAGGTAAAACATCATGATCCACAGCAGGTGGTTAGGGATGGCCAGCTTCAGCAGACGTTCCAGGCTATGAGTCAGGTCCATTCTCTGCCGGAGCGATGACAGGGTCAGCGCGCGCCGGGACAGGGTGTCATCTAATAGTGACAACTTGTCAAAAGAGCTGGCGAAAGGAGGACTTTCTGAAGTCAGAGTGAATATTAGCTGTCTCTTAAGATACGTCGTTTCGTGCCGTGACAGTGGCATCACACAAACCCACACCGCACTATATGAAAACTTTACCTGAATATCACGCGAAAAATAATAACGAAAAACTGGGCACGGGACGAACATGTCTGAACTCCTGCCCCTTTGCACTTCTTGAATCCGACATCCCAGAACGTTGATGATTCAGAGCCCGAGCCGGATGGTAACGGGACACACATACCGAGAAAGGCTCGAGCGAGTTGCGCACGCTGGGGATGATCCACTGCTGGAACAGCGCCACCTGCATGTTCAGGCCCACAATCAGCTCCAGCACACGGCGCAGCAGGAACCTGGAGCAGGAGCATCCGGGTCACCACACACAGCAGTCACACACGGCGCAGCAGGAACCTGGAGCAGGAGCATCCGAGTAACCACACACACAAGGCAGTCACACGCGGCGGAGCAGGACCCTGGAGCAGGAGCATCCGGGTCACCACACACACACGCACAGCAGTCACAAGCGGCGCAGCAGGACCCTGGACCAGGAGCAACCGGGTCGCCACACAGAGCAGTCAAACGCCGCGCAGCGGGACCCTGGAGCAGGAGCATTCGGGTCACCACACGCAAAGTCACATGCGGCGCAGCAAAACCCTGGAGCATGAGCATCCGGGTCACCACACACACAGCAGTTACACGCGACGCAGCAGGACCGTGGAGCAGGAGCATCCGGGTCAACACACATGGCAGTCACACACGGCAGAGTCACAAGTCACACAAGTCACACGGCAGTCACACACGGGACCCTGGAGCATGAGCATCCGAGTCACCACACACAGCAGTCACAAGCGGCGCAGCGGGACCCTGGAGCGGGATCATCCGGGTCGCCACACATGGCAGTCACACACGGCGCAGCGGGACCCTGGAGCAGGAGCATCCGGGTAACCACACACACGCACGGCAGCCACACGCGGCGGTGTCACGCACGGTAGATCGCACACGGCGGTAACGCAAACCGTACGACCACACACGGCCCGGCCACACATTACAGGACACACTGGTGGATCACACACGGCAGAGACGCGCACACGGGAGGCCACACGCGGCAGAGACGCGCATGGTGGAGACGCGCGCGGCAGAGACGCACACGACAGCGGCGCACACGACGGGCCACACATGGTTGAGCCGCACATGGTGGAGACGCACACGGCAGAGACGCACACGACAGGCCACACACGACGGAGCCGCACATGGTGGAGACGCACACGACAGGCCACACATGGTAGAGACGCACATGATGCCGACGCACACGACAGAGCCGCACATGGCGGAGACGCACCCGGCAGAGCTGCACATGGTGGAGACGCATACGGCAGAGCCGCATGTGGCGGAGACGCACACGGCAGAGCCGCACATGGTGGAGATGCCCCGTGGCCCGGGTCTGCCAGATGAGCGCCGGACATCCAAACGGGCAGCGAGGACGGGGATAGGAGCTGAACGAATGGAATGCGGATGGTTGGATAGCAGGCTAGAACGAGTCAAGTGCATTACAGGAGCTGGCATTTTGAAATCTCTCGTGGAAATCATGAGCAGAAAAGGAAAACCATGTAAGGTTTGTACATTTATAAGCAGATGCTCATTAATGCAATAAACAACGTAATTTTCTCCAGCGTCTCGCCCGGTTTCCACCACTTCGTTATCTCATCATGCATGCTTGCAGACCTTACGTTTCGTTCAGCACACCAAACAAATTCCGCAGCAACGACACAATGCTGGCAGAAAAAGAGCCGCGGCACACCGCGATTCTACGCCGACCAAGCGCTCCCTGAATCCAACGAGGCGTGGGCCCCGCGGCCTACTTACCACGGCCGCACTCGGCCAGAGCGCGGGAAGTTCAGCTCGTAGCAGAGCGTCGGTGCGATCAGGTAGTAGTAGAGGTCGGAGAGGTTCAGGTTGTCCGGGTAGCGAACCAGCCGCTGCTCCGGTATAGGCTCGGACGCCGGCGTCGGCGAGTCGGCCGCAGTGCGGTCCGACGCCGGCAGCTGGAAGCACGCGACTGAAACGGGGGCCGGCTCATTGGCGTCATCCAAGCGCGCGCCGGGAAGCAGAAGCTCGACGTATGGGGGTTTCAAGAGACTCGAGTTCAACGTAGTCGAACCGCGGAACAATAATGCGTACAAGCGCTGCGGAAATAAGAAGAGGGCCCAAACCCCTAAGACTGCAATGTGCGTGAAATCCATCCGCGATGAGGTGGCCACGGATATTCACGTGTCTCAAGAGGTCGGAGAAGACATACATGACGACACGGAGGGACGGACTGATCCGGAACTTAGTTTTCGGCCAAGAAAATACAACAATGACGGAAGTCACGAGCAATATCGGGGATGAAAGCGCCCATTCTGTCACATTCAGACGAGGGGCCGCTTCTACGAGACCCCAGTGGCTACAAAGACGAGCAGGACAGCTGTGAGCGCGGGCGGTCGTCGGAAGGACGTCCGGCATCGACGGCCGCCGCCAGTCGACACGTACTGGACTTGCTGTACGAGAGGCTGCGGTAACGGCGCTTGCCGCTGGCGTCATCCCGGCACCACTTGTTGACGTGCGCGTAGCTGGAAAGCTTGAGCGCCAGCACCACGCAGCTCATGCTGATGACGGTCAGGCCGACTGGGGCGGCGGGGTGACGTCAGATCCACGCGACGACCGCACACAGGGCCGTGGTCGCACCACGAGCACACAGACAGGCCGACTGGGGCGGCGGGATGACGTCAGATCCACGCGACGACCACACACAGGGCCGTGGCCGCACCACGAGCGCACAGACAGGCTGACTGGGGCGGCGGGGTGACGTCAAATCCACGCGACGACCGCACGCAGGGCCGTGGCCGCACCACGAGCGCACAGACAGAGCAGTGTCACGAGACGGTGGCACGGCCAGAGTCATGGCCTGAGTCCTTGTCATGGCCAGTTGGTCGCAGACAAGACACAGGCGCTAGGAGTGCGATATAATCCCACAAGCACATGATCCATCCTTCCAGCAGTTTCATGAGCAAGACAGCAACTGTATTCTTGAAAGTGTTGTCACGCTAAATTTGCGTCGTTTCTTAATTGAGCGTTATGGGCGTATCTCCTAAAGCAAAACTACAACTTGCATATTTTCAAGTCCCATTGCAGGGTTGCATAGGACATTTACTGATAACTTTAACCCGAACCCACATCCACGAGGCTTAAAACTCAAGACGCGCAATAAAATTGATCAGCTACCAGCAAAACAGCTTGACGATACCCTCCAAAAAAGGCAAAGTTGCAGCCCCTTTTTGCACATCACCACGGGAATACGGGATTAACACAATCTCACGCGGACTTCCCCGAAGAAAGGGGCAGACCTGAACTTCCAACAAAGGCGTCAGTACGCACCACATCAAGCACTGTCCCTATTGCGCCAGATGAACTTCTACCCCTACCGCGCCAGATAGAGTTGCATCTCTACCGCGCCAGATCAAGTACTGCCCCTGCCGCGCCAGATCAAGTACTGCCCCTGCCGCGCCAGATCAAGTATTGTCCCTGCCGCGCCAGATCAAGTACTGTCCCTGTCGCGCCAGATCAAGTACTGTCCCTGCCACGCCAGATCAAGTACTGTCCCTGCCACGCCAGATCAAGTACTGTCCCTGCCGCGCCAGATCAAGTACTGTCCCTGCCACGCCAGATCAAGTACTGTCCCTGCCGCGCCAGATCAAGTACTGTCCCTGCCACGCCAGATCAAGTACTGTCCCTGCTGCGCCAGATCAAGTGCTGTCCCTGCCGCGCCAGATCAAGTACTGTCCCTACTACGCCAGATCAATACTGTGCATTACATGCCCCGAATATGCACACAGAAATGATGCGTCATAGGCAAATATGTTGACAGATGCTGCACTATGTTCTTGTCTTTGCTAAACCTAGGAGGAATTGCCACATTTCAGAAAATTACAAAAAAACAGCGTGATGTGATTCGTCATCAGACGCACAGCTCACGTGGAATGTCAGGACCTCACAGATCGGCACGGCGCGAGGAGCTGCTTACCGAGCGGAATGTTTTCGATGAAGTGGACGACCACGTGCGGCAGAATGAGGATCATGACGATGTTGATGGTGTGCAGGATGATCCCGATCACAGGTGATATCACCCACTGCAATGCAGCGATGCGAATCGTCAGCCGTCGTCGAAAACATGAGGCAAAACGAGACGAAGTGACCAGCGCAAAACGGGTAAGACGCGATGCCAACTGAAAAAATTGGATCCACAAAAACGCGAAAAAAAGAAAGTAAAAGAGAGTGTTCCATGGGCGAAGGAAACGGAAAAATAAGACCAAGTTAAAAAGGAAGACAACAATGCCCGGCGCGGTCAGCACATCCTGACAAGATGCGTTGCGTGCAGCGGAGGCAGATAGATGGAGCTACGTCGCTACAGCTGGGCGGCGGCGGCGGCACAAAGCTGGAGTCGCGGGAAGGACTTTCAGGGGTTTCCTGGATAGAATATAGAGCTAATAATAGAACCTCTTCACAGAGGGAGGGGACTCCTGGATAGTAGCATATCCAGGGGGACACCTGGGAGATGTACTCCCTCATCAAATTGTTACATGCATTAGCCTACATGTAAATAAATGTTGATAACTGAGACATCCAGAAGAGGAACCTTCTGACTGACACAGAGGCTGCCTCATCCAGAAAAGAACCCCATCACAAAACATGGCCTCCTGTTCCACAAAAGAGCCCCCTGTTGCATAGGATGGCCTCCTCATCAAGAACAGCATGCTTCCACTCACACAAGAGGTCTCCATTCAAGCAAACAGCATTATCCCAGAACGCGGCATCTTAATCTAGAACAGCGACCTTCTGCTGCACGGCCGCTGCACTCTGATGCAAGGGGCCTCCTGATGCATAAAGGGGTATCCTTATCCAGAACAGTGGTCTACTTATTCACAATTGGGCCACTCAAGCCAGCAAAGGGAACCTTAAAACAAAATACGACCTGATCCGGAACATGAACTATCTCATCCATCAAAAGGACGTCTGATATAGAAAAAGGACCTCTTGATGCGAACGGGGCTTTCTGAGGCAGATTTAACTTACCCTAGTTCAGCTCTGGGGGCCTTATTGGTATGAACTTTGGTAACATAAGTGTCGCCGCGAAACCGTCTTGAAACAAAACACACAACCTTGTTTTCCACCCTCTCGCCTGCCAGCAGGAGGAAACCGCCCCCTTTGCTCCTGCTCCCACCCCTGCAGCTGTGTGCGGACACGTTATATTAAGCGTCGTGTTGGCAGCTGTTACGGTAATAAGAATGTGTGGGAGCAGAAAGAGCAGCGATTGGCTGGCCGAGTATGACTGACTCGTCCAATCGCGCATAGCACTGAAGAGACTGGCGACAGCTAGTCATCGCTGGCCTATCGCGATTCGCGGGAACTGCGACCAGCGGGTCGGAAACGATAGTGACAAGGCAGCTCTTTCCCTGTACCGCTGCCAGCATGTGTGTTGCTGCTGCTATCGAAAGGTCAATCACGGGCACGGGCACTCCATTCTGGCGCCACTCACCCGCGCCAGAAGCTTCTCAATAGCCAGGGCTACCCATGCGTGCACCTGCAGGTCTGCAGGCACAGCGGCACGGTTAGCACCAGATGGACCGAGACAATCGTACATTATGCTTATGGAAAACAAAAGGGGCATTCCAACGAAAAGCGCACAGCACAAGCGGTAGCGAAAGATGGTCATTCCCAGTAGAAATAAAGATAAGATTCATGACGATACCACGCTCTAATATAGGTTATGCTTCACATAACTCAGGAAAAACTAGGATGAGCACAAATTCGACGTGCTTAGAAAGGCAACGCCCCGCTAGAGCCCCGCCCAAAACTACTAATAAACATAATAACTACAGCCCCACCCAGACTACTCACAAACACAACTCAAGGCCATGTTACAGCCCTCCTCCTATTCAGACTTCTCACAAACACAATAACTGAAACTACTCACAAACACAATAGTTGAAACTACTCACAAGAACGGTAGATCAAAGGCATCGGTCACATCCCCCAAACAAACGAACCAAATTTCAAGTGGAAGACTACGGCGATACGAAAGTCCGACAAGACGAGACAGCTGGCTATGGGCCAGTTCAGAAGGCCTGATGGGCCGCACCCTGCTTACAGAGGAGCGTCATCAGCGAAGGGTAGCGGTCACCGAAGCGGAACGGGCCGCCGTTCAACACGACGAACCACTGCGGAGGATCGACGAGCAGACCGTACCTGCGGCAGCGCGAGCCGCGTGACGTCACAACGCGACGCGATCGGTGGAGAAGGGAACAAGAGGTCGAAGGGGCCAACTGAGAACACACAAGATCAGGTGCTCCTCTCGGCGGCGAACAGAGCACATGGGGAACAGCCAGAGCCCACGGCTGTGAGCAGCAGAGTAACTTCGTGCGTGTGCTACACGTACTTGCGGATGTTTTCCAGCATCAGTCTCGCTCCTCCCAAGAACAGAAGAGTGAAGCCCCAGTTGACAAAGCCTGGAAACCAAGCAGGCAGGGATGATACAAGTTGTGGTACATAAAAAGCAACACATGAAAAGACGACAATGACTACGCTAAAACCTTAGCCTGCAACAGCGTACCACACAGGAGCAGAAAAAAACAAGGTCTACAAGAAACATGTAATAATGTCCAGAAGAAAACATATGGGGTAGGAAAAAAACCATATGTAAACCATCTAGCAGCATAAAAACGCAATCAGCCAGGACATTGCAGAGAGGTTGCAAAAAGCTGCGACGGACCTCCAGCAGTTGCCCAGGCCTTTGGCATTGTCAACCAAGTAGCGTGTGTGGTGATCAGTGATATGCATTCCTTCCAGTAAACTCATGTCAGTTGCACTAAGCAAATTGGTACGTACCGCTGTACTCGGTGAACTCAGCCCGCCAAGACAAAAGGGAGTCACAGTTCTTATGAATTCTGATGGAGGAAATGACATGATTGTTAGATGAGCCCTCATTTTCAGCTTCACTAAGTTCAAGGAAGATATGAATGCGGATTTGATAGAACACAAATCATCACGTCACTTCCTGAAAGACCCGCTATGATTCAGAACGATTCATCTGCATGAAAAACTGTGGCCTAGATAAGCAAAGCAAACAAAACCAGTTTCTATCAACATTCGAGTCAGTTTCTCTCTAGGTTCAGGCCACATAAACACACAGTATTTGACACACCTCTGACCAACTGCACTACAACTGCGACGCCCATGTGACTGCCGCCCTGCGAAGGGCAACACAACTGGGCCCACGGCCAGTGAGCGAATCTAGCTGCTGCCGCCGGCTCGCTCGGGGGTCGGCTCGGGGGTCGGCTCGGGGGCTGGCTCGGGGTTCCTCGGGCTAGCTCGGGGGCTGGCTCGAGGACTGGCTTGGGGCTAGCTCGGGGGCTGGCTCGGGACTGTCCCGGAGGCTGGCTCAAGGGCTGGCTCGGGACTGTCTCGGAGGCTGGCTCAGGGGCTGGCCCGGGGCTGGTTCGGGGGCTGGCTCGGGGGCTGGCTCGGGGGCTGGCTCGGGGGCTAGCTCGGGGGCTGGCTCGGGACTGTCTCGGAGGCTGGCTCAGGGGCTGGTTCGGGGCTGGCTCGGGGGTTGCTCGGGGAGGCTCCGGGCTGGCTCAACGGCTAGCTTGGGGGCTGGCTTGGGGGCTGGCTCAGGGCTGGCTCGGGACTCACGGCTCGTCGGGCTGGTTGCGCCGAATCCGCTGCTCTGTTTGACTGATGTCCTCTGCTCGGCCGACGGAGATGGTCCGGCGCAGGCGCGGCCGCGCGCCCTGCCCGCCGCCAGAGGTCTTCTGCGGGGCCGCCGCCGTCTTCGGCCGCACAGTGGCGGCACGAGGACTGCCCTTCTGCTGTCCGGCCGTCATTGTCGGCCCAGCGTCGGTTCTGGGTCACACAATACACTGCCAGGAGAGGCAGAGCTCAGAGTTGGGGCTGAACATGATAATGATGGTAGGGGTAAAAATAAACATGGTGGCTTTTAGAAACCCAGCCAGAATTTGCAATGGGGACTGATCTCCCATGAGTGAGTCCCAGCCCTTTGGCAGTTCCTACACATCACAAACAGGCAAGCAGAACCCACAAATGGTAACACCCACAGCACCAAGCATGTCAAGACGCTGTCCATGTTGGTTTGTCTGGGTACCTTAAACAATTGCTTCAGCTGCATACTGCCCATGTTCACTCAGCTACCAGCTAGTCTTGTTACTAAAATTATGCCTGTTGGGCTCCACATGTTGCTGCCTACAGTAATGTTTATGAGACAAGAAGCCAAAATAGCTCTCTTGAACACCAAGTTTTGGAGGTGAAAAACTGCTTGAGCCTGGCAGGGGGTCTAGCTTAAGTCTAGAGTCTGGTCTAGGTAGCTTTTCAGGTTCATCCAGATTCATCACAGCATAGAATAAGCAGTGCAGAGACAAATAAGTGCAATTGAAACATGTGTGGATGCATAAAAAACAGGTGCAGAGCTAAATGTACAACCTCATATAGGTAAAACCTCTCCAGACAGCTCCACACACTTGACCATGCAGGTAGCTGCACAATTGGACAACATATTTTGTCAGAGCAAATCTATAAATTAATGTGCCTAAAAGGGAATTTCACAGGCAATGTTGAGGTTTTCAGTGCACATTAGATTGTCTTTAACTGGCTATAAGCATATACCCCCATAAAAGTGCACAAAGACACCAAACATAGGTTATTTATTAGCATTCCAACCAGGACAAATTGACTCAGAGTGCACATAAGCTCAAATCTTGAATGTACCTGCAGATGCACTTTTCTCACCCTCATACACTTCAATGAGCAGGCCACAATACTTGCCACTTGTACATATCTTGTTGATGTAAAAACTAAGGGCCAGCCACAACCTACCCCTTACAACATACCATAGAGTGTTGCCTAAATCAATCAGTGACAGGTGGAGCAGCCCCATGCAAGGTGATGCTGACCTGATTCACAGTTAGGGGAATTGCCTTATGTGTAGAAGGGGCTCATGTAGGGAGTCCAGATTCCTTTTAATTGAGTATCAAAATACTATGCTTTGATTTCCAAAAATTGGCAATGTGGCAGCCATTAGCTCACAACTCACATTCATAGTAATATCCATCTCTAAGTCAGTATTACAGAAACCATATCATTTAACTTCTGCATTGCAGCTGTCTCTGGCGGTCCTACATGACAGGTGTAGACCTTTCAAAGAATCACCCAGAATTTCAGGTAATTGAAGCACATTAGAGATGACATTTAACATACTTGTTAAGGGTCAGAACACCACAACATGTGATTATGATCAGAGGTATATGTACAATGATACAACACCAGAACCCTGTATATTAGGTAGTCAGAAATGCCTTTCCTAACATGTCCAACCATGTTTAGGGGGTGTCACCTTTGCATTTAGCATGCAGAGAAAATGAGTGACTCCCTCTTGCATCTCACAATTTTAGCACATCCAGATGAGTCATTACCTTGGCCAATTAGCAAACATCATAAAACCTACAACCGTTAGTGACAGATAACCATTACACTAACTGGCTTATGACCACGACAGGGTGACAGATGTATTACCATGTGCATAATGATCCAACCATTCACAATACCAATGACTGGGGTATTTTAATTAGATGTGCAATGGATCTAAATCAACAGTTAAGGAGTTTAAAGCTGTGTTAATGATGCAAGTCACAACTAACCATCACATAATTCCAAATGCAGGCAGCCATTGGTGAGGTACCTGCAGAACAGAAGTTCATACAATTTTTAAAAAACACGATAAACCTAGGTGGGAATGCGACCATGTCATTCAAGTAAAATGTCTTTTGCTTATAGCAGGCACTCACCCGATGCCAATACAGAGATGAGGGTCTCAGCCACGTGATCCAATGACTTTATGCCCAGCTTCCGCGCACGCTTCCGTGCGGGCGTGTCCCCGACCCTTGCCCTCTCCTTCAAGCGAGTAGCGGCAGCGAGATCGAAGGTCATGGCCACCGATGGCCACCATTCATTCATTTTAAGCCCGTCGCAACCCCTCAGCTGCGATCTTGGCGACAGTGATGTCTCATAAGCGTCATATATGCATCGAAATATGGTATCAATAATTATCATAAAAAAACTTTGTAAAATTGCTCCATGAGAAGTATCCATTCGACCTTTTTTAAAAATCTTGGGCTCAAATACGGAATAAATTCCTTATTATGTTTGATATAACAATATTGATGCATTTTCAATATTTCACCGCTTTTTAAACGTCAAAATTTGTCATTCCAATAAAATATTGCGTAGCTTTTAAAAGAATTTATTAATATGGTAGGCCATTCGAAGTCTGCGCAGATGTCTCGTTTTTGGATCGGGACAAAATTGGCATCTTGATGTTACCCCGGGGTGTCACAGCTGCGTGATTCCTGTTACGTATGGTTGTTCGTCGCCTGCACCAGCCATTATGAGTTAATTCCTAAAAATGCTCTAAAGCCGTGCAGAGGATTACCATGAGCATTATTTTGTTCTTGGACCGAGTAATTTACTGAAGCTAACAAGTGTTTTGAAACATCAGATTATTATGCTCAAGAGCAGTTTTTGCGCCTTAACAAATAAGCATCCAACATACTTTCAACTCTGCATATAAATTCATGTTGCAGAGTGGTATGGTGATAAGACACCAAATGCCTGACCCATTGGGCTTATTGTGGGACCAATGCTCTGTGCACTTGTTGAAGAGAAAGGATGCGGATTCCAGCAATAGTTGAGATAGTTTGAGACATGGAGTATCCACTTTCTGCAATTAAAATACAGATATTTAATAACAGGTAGACCTAACCCTTGACACATAAACACAAAGTGAACACAGCAATTCTTGCCTAGTGGATAATGACAGCTGCCTACTGAGAGAACAAGGGAGAAGAAAATGCATGCATGCATGGATCACAATGGTGGAAGCAGGGTCCCATCAAGCTCCATGTTAATGGGATTTTTGCACATTTTTGGGTGTTTCAGGTGCATGTCTGGTAGAGAAGATGAAAACATCTGGGATGGGTACTTAAGCATAGTTGGGAAGTTTTTTCATTTTTCAGAACATTTTTATTTATTGTTGATTGAAAAAGCACAAATTCCTGATGCTAAATAATATCTTGTGTGGTATTATATATATATATATATATATATATATATATATATTGACATGTACCCACTCACATATGCTTGTACAAGATTGTGCAAGCTTGTGCATGCTTGTACATTGTCACTGGCATGAAAGCAGTTCCCCAGAGGCACAACTAAAGAAAAAATCTGACTGTACAAAAATGGAAAATATATCCCTAAACCCACTTAGAGTGATCCCATGTCACACCACTAATATCTGGTACAAATTGGGCCAACAATGTCTTCCTACCCTGAGCTGTTGTTTGACATGTGCAGAAATAAGTTTTGCACAAAATTATTTTTTGTGACTGATGCTTATAACATTATATAAAGGCTAATTTAAGTGCTTTGTGTTTGAATAAACATTTGCTGTAATTTCCAGAAAAAAATTGAAGCATGGATAGATCAGAAGGACATGAAATCAGTGCAGAAATGGCCCAAGACTACTCTGCATTTGCACAAGTAGATTTTTCTCAAGAGGTATGTATTGGTTAGGGCTGTTAAATATGCTCATACCAAATATGGGTAAAGTAATGTGTGAAGTTACTGCAATTTGAGGTGCAAAAAGGCAGTGCTTAATGGTATTGATACAACTGTTGTACTGATGAATATGTATGGTTTGACATGTCAGGGGCTGTAGCCTAATAAGCATACTTGTTTATAACATCAACAATGCCTTCACAGTTCTTGCTGCCAAACACTTGCCACCCTTGATTGTAAGCCAAGCTGCGAGTACAAATCACTTCAATCTCGACACCTGTGTGAGTAGGCCCAAATAGATTGCTAGTGCACACTATCCTGTACATGATAACGAGTGTCTGATAAGCTGGGATTTGTGTTACAGTGTCAGAAGCTGGATGTAGCAATTGAGGATATGCTGGCAAAGCTAGAAGAGTTTGGCAGTCTCATGGAAATGGTATGTATTTGGTTTTTAATGTTACTTTTAATGCTTCAAGAAAATAATCAGGAATCATTTGCCATCCTCCACTTTCAGATATATGAATGCTGCTCCCATTATAAGTTTTATGACCCTCAGATGCCTGAGTGCTGCATTCAGAATGTTAGTTTGTCAGCCACCAGCTTCTTAAAAATAATGCTTGATATATTTGTGGCCCTGTTCTTAATAGCCACGCTTTCAGTGTGCTGGTCCTTTCACTGTTTTACCACATGTATGCCTGCTTATACTTGGAGGTGGTCTCAGCATTTTGAATTCAGATGTTGGAGTGCTATGCCCAACACATCTGTGCTCCAATTCTCACATGCTCAAATAATGCTGTCAGGGAGATGTTCAACTAATGCTGTCAAGGTGTTTCCTCCTATTGCCAACATCCAAGGTTTTCTGCAACTGCTGAGATTATTGGATCATTACTGCTGTCCACAGATGTCTGTATACCCAGATGTGTGAGTGCTGTATACCCAGTGTGCAAGGCCATTGGATCATTACTGCTATCCTCAGGTGTCTGTATACCCAGATGTGTGAGTGCTGTATGCCCAGTGTGTGAGGCTATTGGATCATTACTGCTATCCCCAGATGTCTGTACACCCAGATGTGCGAGTGCTGTATACCCAGTGTGCGAGGCTATTGGATCATTGCCGCTGTCCCCCAGATACTTGTATACCCAGATGTGCGAGTGCTGTATACCCAGTGTGCAAGGCTATTGAATCATTACTGCTGACCTCAGATACCTGTATGCCCAGATGTGTGAGTGCTGTATATTCAGTGTGTGAGGCTCTTGGATTGTTGCTGCTGTCCCCCAGATACCTGTATACCCAGATGTGAGAGTGCTGTATATCCAGTGTGTGAGGCCATTGGATCATTGCTGCTATCCCCCAGATACCTGTACACCTTGATGTGCAGGTACTATTGTTGTATTCTATTGTATATATTGTATATATTGTATGTTGTATATATTGTGTTGTATACTATTCTCTGTATGTTGGGCCCCTGCCCCCAGATGTTGCTGAGAGCCCCTCTCAGCATGCTGGTACTTCCATCTCCAGACATACAAGCACCTCTGTCACTGCTCTCGTCTGGCTGACCCTGCGGGTGTGTGTGCCGCTCTCAGCGCGTCTTCGCCCCCGCTCGCAGATGTCCGAGTGTTCGGGCGCCGCGCTTAGCGAGATGGTGCCGCGCGTGTTCGCCGCCCGCCAGCGCCTGCAGCAGCTGTTCCAGCGCGTGGACGCCATGGAGACGTTCGTGGCGACGGCCGGCAGCCAGCTGGCGCGCCTCGAGGAGCAGATGGACCGGGCCGAGCGCGAGCTGGCCGCCCCAGGCTCGCTGACCCAGACGTTCTCCGCCCTCTTTCAGGTACGCTGCGCCATGGGCAGCTGATTAGCGGCCACGGGTTCACAGGTCGCGACGCCGTCCGTGACAGCCCCGAACCCTGGCAAATGTGTTATAGGCATAAGCCTCTGCACTGAAGGACAGGAAGCGAAAATTGCGTCCTGCCAGCGGCTGTTCGATGTTTTTTTACGTTACAGGATTGTTTGAGAATTCTGACGTCTGGCGGCGCTTTTCTGAGCTTCACTCCACTGTATCGTCATTTAGTCATGTAGCTGTCAGCCATGCAGCTGCCAGTCATGTAGGTCATGCAGCTGTCAGTCATGCGGCTGTCAGTCATGCGGCTCGTTTAGCGTGCTTAGCGTGCTGTTAACTATTTCATCATCCAAAGGCAAGTGATGTTCCTGATCTTTCACGCACCAGTTGACTTGAGCGGTTTTGGCGCACGGACCGGTGGTACATCGACACACCGAGCGCCACCCAGCATGAGACTCCGACACAATGCACGCGCCGTCACACCGAGACCTGTGCTCTGATAACTGGCGGGAATGTATACCCCCTCACGGCTGAAACAACGGCTCAGACTAGCGTCCTCGTCCTATGTGTTAGCATGTACAGGGCTCTTCGATTCGTGAACTCCCCGGCCGCTGTCGGGTGGTATTGAACCCTGCGATGGACCGGATGGTGATGGACTTTCAGCCATATGCGCGTGACAACCCGAATTATTGCCTTGACATTGCTTAAATTCGAACTGGGGTCTCCTGATTGCAAGTCCAGCGCTTTACCAGCTGAGCTATGCGGGAAAGAAGCCCTTACACCGGGAATAGTTGCTTTCGCTTAGCTCAGTCGGTAGAGCGCTGCACTCGCAATTAAAATACTCACGGTTGGAATGCCAGTCATTCCAACGATAAAAGTCGGGTTGTGACGCGTGCATGCCTAACAGCCAAACTCCATCTCGTCCTTTTTGGACTGAATAACCCCTGATGACGGCCGGAGATTCGACGAGCCAAAACGTGCTGTACATGCCGACACACCAAACGAGGACGATGGTCAGAAGAATCACGCCATCCGTGGTACTAACATCTCGTCCCAATCCTTCCGTACATAGGCCAGCAGTCATACACCCGTGGGCGAGGCAAATGGTGAGACAGACACCAACATACCATCCTTCAACACGCCAATCTAGCGCACCAACACGCTGGCAGTGGCACCCCCAACCACTGGAGGCGAGAGTGCCGGACTGCTTAGGGCTACACTGCCGCGACTGGGAACGGCAGGGCGTTGGTGCAGGCATTTGAGGATGAAAAGAAGACTTGCTACGTATATTATCGCACTATGGGCATTCTGGTGTCTGGAGAAGGGGAGTAAATTGCAGGGTTGCAGCATCTGAGCTCGGTCGAACCTGGCGGTCATCGCAAACAGTGTTCTGCTAGCGGGTTGAGCAGCTGTGTTCAGGTTATGCGTTATGTTCAGTTTATGCCTTTTTTGTACATGCGTGAACCACTACTAACTGACGGGCCATCGTATATGCGGTGAAACCCTTTCGATGTCGCAGCCTTGCCCACCGGCCCAGACGGCAAAGGGCTGTCCGGGTCACGTGACCGGCCAGACAGCGCCACTAGTCCGCCTGCCGTGCCTGTTTTCCAGACGAGGCGGAGGGACGAGGCCCAGGAGCCAGCCGTGTTCACGCCGCCAGAGATATACCGGTCAGAGGACTTCTTCCATCAGCGGAGCGAGCCGCTCGGCGTGCCCGAGGGCTGACGATTCCGCTCCGTGCGCAGCGGCACGCCGCATCACCAGCCCGCTGCATGGCCAGCGCCGCTATCTTTTAGGGATTTTGAACTAGAAGTGGCCTGTGTTGCGTTCGTTTCTGGGGCGCACACAAGCAGGGCAATGGTAAAGCGGACTGGGGGTGTGTAGGATTGATGCTCAGGTGCCGGCGTCCAAGTACACCGCCGCTGCAGAATCGGTTGTATCCATTATGTTGTGCCTGTGAAAATGATAAGCGTTGTTCAGGCGTTGTTGGGGTGTCATTTACGACTGCGATGCGGTGTTGCGAAGGCATGCTCGACTGGCGCGGTTTTCAGCGATACTTTAGAGTGAGTGAATAGCCTACGGTAAGCGTAAACAAAACAACCCGGACGATGAGCAACACTGTACCATTTGACGTGCACGTACGCCTTCCCGCTTGCTGGCTGCGCATTGTCAGCATGTGGCTCTTGATGCTGATACCACATATTGTGTGCGCACGCCGCTGGTCAAGGTGACGCCTGCCTCTCTGCAGTGCTGTTATCAACTCACGCGACTGGACTCACGCGCAAAGTATGCGCAGTGGAGACTTCACGGTGCACGCACAGTGAAGACTATCACGGTGCACGCACAGTGAAGACAACACATCACGGTGCACGCACAGTGAAGACAACACATCACGGTGCACGCACAGTGAAGACAACACCTCACGGTGCACGCCACTTACGATTGTCTGCTCATTTGAGGTGGAGCCATGCCGGGATTTCGGGTTGGTGACCGATAGTGTTTTGTAGTTCGAGCTTGTGGCGGACAAGGGGCGTGAGAGCAGGTACACATGTGCTGATTCTCACGAATAAAACTTTGAAGATGAGGCATGTCATCTAGGAATGTTTATTTTAGTTACACAAAGACCCGTGTGTTGTAACGAAAGCGAAGTATGTTTTATTCCCATATTGCTGTTTAAACGGTTGCTTCAAATCTATCCACAACTTTTTGAGCCAGCATGTTTTCATTTTGTCCTTTGTTAAGTTCGACATGGTTTGGTCAGTTTCCCAGCTGATCCCTTACTGATCCTTCCCAGCTAATCCTCAGTTTCGATTCAGATTCAGAATCGATTTGAGAGTCGCCCAAATCATCCATGAATCTGACATTCCGTTTTTGTTCGTGGCGGCCCAGGACACCGGCGGTAAATCTGCATGAAGCCAGGTGCCTACGCCCGCAATGCGTCTCCTGGGCGTCATTGTCATTAGTTAATGGGCATTTTAATGTGCCACCTGTTACCATTTAATTTTATGTCGTGCTATTCCATAAACCCTTCGCTTAGCGTTTGGTGTTGCATGTGTGCACTGGAAGGTGTGTTTACATTGCCGTTATTTTTTTTATCGCACTGGGCTAGCAATAAACGTTACGAGGTATGGTGCTGTTTCTTACTGAAATATGCAGGATGATGCAGCACCAGTTTTGGAATGTGTCCCTGAGTGCAGTGCAGTAACGGAACACTAAATACGTAACAAGGTAAACCCACATGGCCGCGGGCCCAAACAGTGGCGGACAGGAGACGGCGGAACACAGCACCGAGCCTGGACCATTCTGGGTCTTCAGGTTCCATGAGAACCCAGACGAGCATCAGTCCGCCCCAGTGTGAAACGCAGGCAGCGACGGTATAGTGAGCGCATGTAGTTGACCCCGGCATCGACGCCCAGACTTGGCGCATCAGCAGCAACGACATTCTGGAGAACTTGTGGGCCGTAACAATGTCCCAGGCTACTGATCGGCACCCACAGTTAAATATGAGTTCTCAGCGATGTCACCAGTGGCCCATCAGCTGCTAGCGATTCCGGCTGCTTCAGCTGCTTCGGAGCGTACCTTTTCTACGACCGGTTGGGTGCTTGGGGAGCGACGGCCAACGTCTGCCTCAGCTGCTTCGGAGCGTACCTTTTCTACGACCGGTCGGGTGCTCGGGGAGCGACGGCCAACGCTGGCACCGGAATCGGTGGACGCCATCATGTTCCTGCATAGCAGCAAGAAAACGCGATGAGGATGCCATCAAAGACCATGGCCGGTGGAGTAGCGCTCTTGTTCAACGATGTTGGTTTTAAATGATCACAGTCGCTATTACAGTGAGGTGCGATACAACCTGAAAAGTCATTACCTATGAATCATTTCTGATGAGGCCGAGTACATGAACCGATTGACAAAAATGACTGGACGTTGGACAATGACTGGACATTGCGTAAGCCTCGTATAGAAAAGGATTCTGCCACACCTTACATATATAATTTCCCTCTAATTGGACAGACATTAACGAAGAGACTACGCTGGCGACGACATAGAAGCTAAAAGAAAGCTGTTAAAATATTTATTCTCACATTTTGTGTGGGCATCTTCCTGGGTTTTTGTTTTGCGTTCCTGGAGTTGTTAATTTTCCAAGCATCTTACATCTTTTACCAATTGCCGTTTTAGTAAGTTGTTCAGTGCATTTGCGAAGAACTGTGGTTGGCTGTTTAAAAGAGAACAAAACAAACAAAAAACGAATAATCGATTGGGACCATAGGCATGCAATTTTGAATTCATTTCTACTGCTGTTCCGAAAACGGCATGTTGCCGAAATATCATCCCATCCACGTCTCCATTCCCCTGGTTTTTCTCCAAGGACTAATGCTATTACTATTGCATTATGTAATTGTGTTCCAGTAATCGCTTGCTGTGCTAAAAATGGCGCGATTATTAAACACTCAACACGTTCGTTTGATACGTTTTGAAAAGTTAAAACATTGGTACAGGCAGCTATAAAACTCGTTACCTTGCGGTTACGGGCGGTTACGGATTTGAGCCTTACGATTAAGGGCGGTTACAGATTAGGCCTTGCAATTACGGGCGGTTGCAGATTAGGCCTTACGATTACGGGCGGTTGCAGATTAGGCCTTACGATCACGGGCGCTTGAGAATTTGAGCCTTACGCCTACGGGAGGTTACTTCTGAGCATTCCGTTTACGGGCGTTTACGGATTTGAGCCTTATGGTTATATGTGGCTACGGATTTGAGCCTCACGGTTCCGGGTGGTTACGGATTTGAGCCCTACGGTTACGGGCGGCTACATATTTGAGCCTTACGTTTACGGGCGACTAGAAATCTGAGCCCCACGGTTATGGGAGGTTGCGGTTGCAAAAAAAACACAACAACAATGAACCATGTGCAACGTGTACCTTTGCCGTGTAACACAAAAGTTTTACGATGACAAGCGCGTCCGGGTATCGTGAGGAAGGAAAACGTTTGCGCGTGACTGTTTAAAGTACATATCCTCGGTGATGATTTGATGGTGCGAGCGCTGACACGTGTCAAAATCACGTAAGCTGCGAGGGTGAGCCGGCAGCCGGTCGTCGGCGTGCGCAGCTGTGCAGGGGCGCGCCCCCCAGGTGGGCTCGTCCCGCATCTGGACAGGCCGCCTGGCAGACGAGTGGTTGGCCTTGTCACCTGACGCTATTTGTTTGCCCGGCGGTCGGCCTAAGCCCTGCCAGTGAACTCCGACTCGTTCAATGTCAAACCCGCGCCCCTCCCCCGCTGACCGCCACGGGAGGCGGCCGCTAACTCGCTAGGTTCACGGCTGGACGCCGATTTAGAGCCATCATTGCGTGCGGCCGCCGGGGATGGCCGACTTGTTTTTGTCCGCGGCATTCCTGTGTTAGCACTAGTGCCGTCTCGGCAAAAGCGGCTGGTGGAGCCACTACTTCTCTCCCATAAGGAATTGGGATGGGAACCCTCCTCCGTTTACGTACCCGACAAGCTAAAAAAGAACGGCTCCGCGTTAATGGATGCCTGCCTGAACTTTACATCGAACCACGCTGAGTGAATCCTGGAGTGTTTATGCGCGGTATTGTGTCACAAACTGTGCAAGGTTCTCAGATCACGATGGCTAACACGTTCGTCTCAAAATGCGTGCAAGTCTATGAATTTGGAATGTCCGCACGCAGAGTTGTGCTCGTTTCGATTCGAATTTAGAATCGATGCAGGAATCATCCAAATTGTCCGCGAATAGAGGTTGATTCGAATCCCTAGCTTCCCGAAATGATTTCAGATAATATTTGATCTATTCTCTTGGATTTGATCAACTGGTTCGACACTGAATCAGTTCGTCACCAGCAACGAGCTATAAGTGGCTTGTGGCCGTGACGAGCTTGAAATTCCAAGAGCAGCTACTATGAAGTCCCACTGCCCCCTCTTTTCATTACCCTGGCACTATGTGGGCTTACATTTTCGTCTCTGATGTCACAGCAACGCGCAATTGCATACGTCCCGCACAAACTCCATAAAAATCCGTTCGGATGACACGCGTTGTAATTTTTCAGCCCATATCCAGACTAGCCCGACCAATGCAAATCGCGGATCCCGACCTTGCTCCTGTTTGGGGAATGGGCCTCCAGGTTTCAGAACGACGGGGAGCAACTGTTCGGTGTTGGTCGTCTCTGGTCAACATAGAGGTCCGCATTGTCCCAGGGGGTCATGTATCGGTGCAAGAACCCCTCTGATAGTTCAGGCTACAGCTCTACGAGTCGAGATCCCTTATGTGTCCTACAGCCAGTCCTTTGGGCCCTTGTGCCCTTTAATCGGGCCCTTGGTCGACGGTTCCGGTGGCCTCCGCGCCCCTCTTCGGGCCTAATCGAACGCTGCATTTGGTCGACTCGAGGTCCCCTGCCAATACAGGACCCCCCTGTTAAGCGTTGTGGGCCCGTGACAGATGCAGTGGCCCCGACCCATGTAAATCGCTGGCCACGGCTTTGTAGATGCTTGGGAAGCGGGCCCGCGGACCAAAACTGACACGGTGTCGACCGTGTGATACTGGTGGAGCTTTGCCGACATAGAGGTCTATGGACTCAGGGGTCCCCGATCGGTGCAAAGAACCCTTGAGTATCATTTGGTGGCCCGTCCCCGCGTGCCGGGACCGCTGAATACGACCCCCCAGCAGACATTTCGGGTCTATCAGGCCCTCAAATTGGGACCTAAGTGAAGCACGTGTCCCCTGTACCCCTGTGTGCGTCACTGCTCATAGCAAGCGAGAAGAACCCAAGACCAATGTGGTAGGCCCCTGAACGATCGGGAGTGCCCCGGCAGATCAACTATAGGGCCCCGGCTGGAGCACAGGGCCCTTCGAGCAGACGGGAAGAGCCCAAGGTCATTGTACACGACTTAATGCCTTGAGCGATCTGAAGTGCTCTGGCTGAGGAATATCTAGGATCCCGACAAAAGCGTAGGATCCTCCGAGCGAGAACGAAGTTTCCGAGACCGTTGCAGCGGGCCGCTGTCCGATCAAGAGTGCCCGGGCTAATTGGCAGAAAGAGTTCCGACAAGATTGAATAGTCCTCCACAGATGGGATCGAAGGGAAAGAGTCATGCATCAATGTGGAAGGTCCCTGAGCATCGAGTGCCTCAGTGCGTTTACGTATATGGGCCCAGGACCAGCCTAGGGCCCTCCGAGAAAGTGGAATGAGCCCGAGACCAATGCAAAAGGGCAACCTAGAGTACCTCTGTAGGTTCATACATGGGCCCAGTCAATAACATTTAGAATCTTCGAGGCGAATGGAAAAAGGCTATTGAGGGACCCTGATCGATCAAGAGTGACCCGACATGTTAGCAATTAGGGCCCCGACAATAGGGTAGGGCCCCTCGAGCAAATGCAGAGATTAAGCCCGTGCAAGACTTCTTAGCGATCGGATTGGCCCGGCCAGTGGACATACAGGACCCCGGCAACAGCGTAAGACCTCTGGACAGCGTGATGAGCATCAAAATATTCTCAATGACCACCCTTTCAATCAGCAAGATATTCTTTTCGGCTCACGGGAACTTCACTATCGCTTGCGACTTAACTTGGTCGTCTGGAGGCCCCCAAAACACCCATTTCTATGTTTTGCTTTTAAGCAAAACTGCGTCCGTTTAGCCGGTCATGGACCCATTCGGCACCCAATGGGGCGAGGGCATGACCCCGCAGCCCCTGTGGATCCGCCACTGCTCTCGATACATTTTCAATGCAGCGTTTTGTTTATCACTTCGCGACGCCTACATGCCTGCTCCGTCCTTCGTTACGATGGTAAACGACGCTTTAGCGTAGTATACGGGAAGGACTGCATAGTCGTTTTTAGAAGTCGGCAGTGGCAAAGAATGTCGTGGATAGTGGATGCGTACAATCTGAATTCGAGCTTAAGTCTCCTTGCATTATTCTTTTTAATCTTATTTGGCATGCCAACGAATAGACTGACTACCCAGAGCGCTTGAGTTGTCGGCTGGCAGGAAAGACACGCTGAAAAACATCAACTATTTCAATGCGATAACCTGCATGATTACGTTTAACGCGTCTTCCATCCATCAACCGTTCGGTAAGCGCGGGAGATCCAGTCTGGGTACCGCTGAAACAACACCAGCTC